AAGAATTCCTGAGAATATCACTGCGTGCTATCCACCAGAACCAAATTCCAGCTCATCTTCATCTCTTACTCATATCCTCTATCAAATCCTTTATCAGTTAACCATCACTATATTGCGTTTTGCGACTTGGTGCACACTCTCCCCTTGATATCGTCAGTTGGGTCTCGATCTAGTGCCCGCAGTCCACACGGCATCGGTCGGGTTGCCCCGTTGCGCTGCGCAATCCGAGCATAAACAAGCGCACTTGAGCATTTTCTCTCCATTCCACAACGATCTTCTCCCTTCTTTTCTGCCTTGATACTTTATCGGGAGTAAGAAAGAGATCGTCAGGGATATCAGACATCTATTTCTGGGTTTCAGGTGTCTTCTCTCGAATTACTTCCTCTTAGGAAGTTCCATCAGCGTCAGCTTCCCAGTCCTCTCCTCCACCCGCGAGCATGCGAGTATCACGACCTTCCTTCAACCCCGGACGAACAAAAAACCTCCTTCATGGGGTACAAGGGTTTATCATCTTTCTCGCATGGGCTTTGACCATTGCCGTATTCACAAAGGGTGATGGGATCGATGGGCGGTCAGCCTGGTACTGGGCCTTGGTGAGTCTCAGTCCTTGATTGTACTTCCGGCAAAGGAGGAACGTGGACCTTGAAGCTAATGTGTCGGCGCCAATAAGTGTTGGCTCAGTATTCCGGGTTTGATTTACCTGGTCGCAGTGCCCATGTGGCCACGTGCTCGACGATTCGGAAACGTCTATGCCTTCGCTACAGTCGACTGTTTATACGCCATTCTGTGGTTCTCTGCGTGGATCTGCGTCGCAAGCTATGTCGCACAGGGAAAGGCCGAGGGCAAGAGCGACAGTGACAATGATAAGAATAAAGATAACAAGAAGAGTGGCTGCGACGCATGGAAGTACGGAAGCGCCAGCAAATGCAAGATTAGTACGGCAACTGTGATTCTGGGGGTTGTGATCTTGTAGGTTTCCTCCTGACTTTCATATTTCGCGCGATATCCTTGCTAATGAGGCTTGTTTGCAGCCTTCTGTTTGTTGCGACCGCTTGGATGTCCTTCCGCAACGTCATGCATTTTCGCCGAACCGGTACCCTTCCCGATGCTGTTTCCGATCCTACGTTCGCTGCGCAGAGCAAGGCGGCTTTCTCCTCGAACCCTGCGCACGACTTTGACGAAGAGGAGGATGATTTCCGCTCCGGACGTGCTGGAATGGGCGCTTCTGTTCGTAACGATCAGGACGAGGATTATGCTCTACTTCACCAAAGCGAGGTAGACGATCTCGGAAATGGCAACGGACGGACTGCAATGCATGGTGCCTACGATCCCACTGCTACTACCGGATCAGGGAGTGTGCTACATGACTACAGCACCAGTTACGGCGGCGCGCATGGGCAACACTATGCACAACCGTCTGAATACGGTTCTACCCTGAGTGGCTATGGACGTTAAGAACGGTTCTTGATCTCGACTCATGCGCATTGTCTTTATATTCTGGTATTGATCTTGAAGCGGTGTTTGCAGGCGCATATACTTGTACGACCTTAGGTGTGTTGCCCTTTGGTCTATCGAGGTCTGTTCGATAGTATTTACTTATCTTGACTTTAGGCGATGATATCTGTTGCAGTCAGTCGGCGTGGGAAACGATGCCTCTTCAAAATTGTTTGCATTTTTCTGTTCCTTTGACGATGTTTACGATCACCCTAGTTTTGCAGCTGTTTTGGAGCAGCGTTAGAGGAGTCGCACGTGTTCAGCTTATGGGGCGGACTTAGGATATTCATAGATACTCCAAATTGACATTTACTTTGAGTCGATCTGACAACGAGGCATGCTACTGGCATAATTCGGGAAATTTCTAGAGGATAATCTTGAGAGCCAAGATAGCGCTTGAAATCATGACATTGGCTTGAAGCTGATATGCCTCCGATAAAGGCACATGGATGCGGGTTCTGCCACCGCCTTCTGTTCGTATTCGATAGCTTCAGGACAGCTTGCGATCTTGACAATGCAAAATAATCAGTGACCATTCCAAAGATACCCCTTTCACATCATATCTTTCTACGAGCAGATTAGGCTCGGGAAGCGATAGTTATTGCTGCTTCTTTTTAATTCCTACGCTTTGGTAAGTGTGCAATACGGCAATAACTCCATACATGTAACCAGACTGACACAGTCGCAACAGCTGAGACTGATATTTCGCATATCTCCAAACCTACATATTAGCCGGCCAGCCTCTTCCCATCAAAATGGCCAGCAGCATCGACATCTTCCACCAGTACCCCCTCCACCTCGACCCGACCTCCAAAGCCATCTCCCTGCCGCCCTCCTCCAGCCAATCCGCCTCTCAAACCACAACCATCAACGAAGAGCTACAAGCCCTCAACAACCTGCACCGCTCACTAATCGCCCTCGACGCCCCTAACATCCCGCCTCCACCACTCCCCATCAACCCCAAGCGCAGCGCCCAGATCACCAAACTCCGCGACACCGCCAACCAAGCCTACCGCAAATCCAACTATGCCGAGGCCGTCAAGCTCTACACCTACGCCATCGATATGGCCCTGAGCCGCCCCGGCTGGGAACCCGTCAATCTGGTCCGCGATGAGTTATCCGGTCTGTACGCCAACCGCTCGCAGGCGTACATGGCGCAGCAGGCCTGGCCCGAAGGAATGATCGATGCCAAGGCTAGCTGTGATTGCAAGCCTGTTGCGAATGTGAAGGCTTGGTGGCGTGCGGGCAAGTGTCTCGCTGAGATGGGACGCTGGGAGGAGGCTAAGACTATTCTGGAGCGCGGACTGGACGTTGAGGGGAAGACTGGTGAGGGTGGGAAGGAACTGGGGGCGTTGTTGGAGGAGGTTCAGCAGAGACTACAGAAGTCGGCATAGTTGATGTCGGCCTGCCTAGGGTCTTCTCTATGGTGAATTCGACATCTGCAGCTCAGTTTGGCTAACTCTATCATGTTCATTTGTTGCGATCATGGTTGTCTTTGGCGTTAATGGAATGATGGGTTTGTTTACTGTATTTTAATCATGACTGGTCTTCAAGATAGAGCGTCACATCACTCAAAAAGAACTTTTAGCAGACACAATAATGACCAGGAAGATTGTGACGTACGCGATTTTGGAAAAATATATGTATGTTCTTCAGGAGGACGAGGACAAAAGACAAAAAGAACAAATTCCGATGCGGGGAATCGAACCCCGAGCTGCTGTGTGAGAGACAGCGATGTTAGCCATTACACCACATCGGATGGTTGCTGAAAGGTTTAGTAAATTTTTGAATAATCAGACGAGCAGACCGTTTGAACTGCAAGCGTGTCCAGTAGGATCATCGGGAGCAGCGGCAATTCTGCCCCACTTCGAACCATGGACAGGTGGACCCATTACCACAAAAGGGATTATCAAAGGAAAAAATTTCCCTTTCCCAACAACATCCGATGTGGTGTAATGGCTAACATCGCTGTCTCTCACACAGCAGCTCGGGGTTCGATTCCCCGCATCGGAATTAATTTGTCTTTTTGAGTCCTTTGTTTTTTTTTGGCCTGTCCATGTTAGACTCTGCTGGTTCTGCATGTGTCGTATGAGTCCAGAGCTTCTTTACCAATTACAACTACCTTGAGTACATTACTGTATCAGGGGTATATCTAGGTCAGATCTAATGCTATTATTTACTCATTTAGTTGCTTATAACCAGTCTTCCCCCTGCAGTTAGGGCTTCGAACTATCCACCATGGTATGTATGCCCCTCTCTCTGAGCGTACTTGCTGTGCTCCATAATATATATTCCCGGCCACCTTGACTATCAAGTTATTGAAGACCACTAGACTGACGATTAACGAACAGCTGCTAAGGCTGTGGCTTCGACTTATCTTTCATGGTCTGCCTTTTCATTCATCTGCTCTTCTAATTATCTAGGTTATTGTATCAACAGCGTCCATCATGTATCCCTCATTAACTCCCGTTTCCCTTCTCCCCTCATCATCATCTTCTTCCTCCAGCTCCGCTCCCTTCACTGGCAACTGTTTTCGTCCCATCACCTCTTGTCTACCATGTCGTCGCCGGAAGGTAAAATGCGATCGACGACAACCCATCTGTTTTACATGCGAGCGAGGCAATCATGCCTGTTCCTATGTGTCTGCCCCTCAGTCACCCGGACTGGTCTTAGAACCCAGCCGGGTGACCAAATCAACGGCTACCAAGATATCCTCTTCCACACTGACCAGAATCAATCCCAGACTTCAACGTCTGGCGGACATTCTGGCGCAAGCACAGGCGGTGCCATATGAGGCTTCCGAGCAGAGTTCATCCTTGCCGGAATCATATTTTACTACCCGATCTTCAGTTCCCAAAAATGCGTCAACCCCGCAGCGCCAATCGCAGGAGGATGTGCTCATCTTGGAGAATGGAGTACCTCGCTTTATCTCGGGAAAACACTGGGCCTGGATGGCTGAAGAGGTGCGCAAAAAATGAATCGCTACTCTTGTGGGAAGAGAAACGTATGTGAAGATGAATGGATATCTGATCATTCACCAAACAGATTCAAGATATCCAATCTCTGCTCACGGAGTTGCAAGAGTCCTCGCCCAAAGAGGTCCCAGACGACCATCTAATCTGGGAGACTGATACCTCACGATCTAACGTGTACAGCTTTTATCCCGACACCCGAGAAGATTGCTATTTACTGCTGAATGTTTTCCTGGCCAATGTCGATCCCATAGTGCGACTAGTGCATCGTCCCAGTTTAGCTCGTCGCTTTGATGGATTCATTCGCACCCATTATTCCCTAGACGAGACTCAAGTTGACGGCAGTTACAGTAACTATATGGCATTCGACCCCCATCAATCTAATGCATTTGAGCCGCTGGCCATGTCCATTTTCTATGCAGCCATTAATAGTATGAAGGAAACAGATGTTTCACAGCCTTCAACAGAGACAAATCTCATCTCCTGCAAAGGTACCGAGCTGGGACTGAAGTATACCTGAAGCAACATCACTTCATGACCTCAAGGATCTTTGAGGTTTTACAGGCATTTGTCATTTTTCTGGTGAGTTCTTGCGTTGGTGGAAGATCGCTCTCATAGCTAATACGCAAATCACAGACAGCTCAATATCGGGAAGACGATATAGGCAAAGTGTGGCCCTTGACGGGTCTTGCCATTCGCATGGCCACTATTCAAGGCCTCCACCGTGACCCGTTGGCACTACCACTGGGAACGATTGACATAGTGCAAGTCGAGCTGCGCCGCCGACTATGGACACAGATCTGTCACCTAGATTTTCGAGCTGCGGAGGGACATGGGTTTGCTCCTTCAATCCACGAGTCTGATTTTGATACTCGTCTCCCTCTCAATGTGGACGATGTTGATCTAATAGAAAGAGTGGCGCCCTCTACCAAACTCTTAGATGCCCCTAAATTCACAGACATGACCATCTATCTGCTTCGGGTCACAGCCGCCCAATGTTACGGCCGCATTATCCAGATCACACATGCATCGCGAAAGAGAATGCGTGCCGGTTCCCAGGGAGATCTGGCAGAAGAGCAAGACTTGTCTGAACTTCAAACCCTGTTAAAAACCGCCGAGGCCATGGCAGCTGAGCTGGAGAAGGCGCTGGATAATCTTGTCCAATACTGCGACAAGAGAGTGAGCTTGCAATCAATGGCCTTACAGCTCAGGACTCATCTAAAGTCCAAATTCTGGGTCATATTCTGGATCCAGATTTCTCGCCAGGACCGTGAGAAGATCATCAGCCCGGCCATGCGAAGGAGGTAACCCCCCAAGGTCCGAACAACGTCTTACATCTGCTGACTTACAAAGTATATTCATGGATGCCGCCACAACCGTAGAGAACTGGTGTACAATCGCCTCAAGCAAAGATTGTGAACCCTTCCAATGGCATATTTCCTCACATGCCGGCTTCTACCCTATCCTTTACGTCCTTTCTGAGGTTCGTAGCCCTGTATTTCAAACCCCGGAGTGGGCCGATCTTCGACAGAGGGGTCTGCAGGTCGCAAACGCAATCCATGAAATCCGCGGCCAGCACACCACCGGGGCATGGCCAGCCATTATCTGGTTGATTGAGCGAATTCGATCCCGGAGCCTGGGTCTCACCGAGGACAATCGAACAGTCGATCCCACCCCAGGGCCACAGGACAATCCGATGTTGTCGGGATCAGGGTCGGATAGCATGGGTTTTATGGGAGTTGAATTAGACGCCGCGAACTTTCTGGGATTCACGCATCTGCAGGACTTTGACTTTCCTGACCTTGCGGGGTTTGACCCGATGTCGTTTTCTTGTCCTTCGCAGACGAGCTGATCTTCTGATACGCGCGAATACCGGCCTGATCAATTTGCTGGGCTTACTTCATGCAGCTCTGTTGTAACCTCTCGAGTTTGGGCTTTGAGGAATAGGTACATTGCGTTGCTTGATCTTTGTCTGATGACAGCCTGTATGAGAATACGTTTGTGGTTGCTTCTCTTCACACCCTGTATCCTTCATTCCGAACTCATGCAAGACCTCTGATCTAACTCAGACTTCACGCATATATATCCATGACCAGGGTATTATCCTAGGCTTGGTGCTTATGAATGTCCGATCCGTCCAGACTTGAAACGCACAATTAAGTTCATGAACCACTCAACAACCCATTTCTATACGGAATACCACCTACGACAGACTGGCATACCGTATGGAGGGGATGTGGGCCGCTGAGCGTAGCGGATTGATCCTCCGAAGCCTTTGACTCGTTGAAGGAGACCAGGGTGGGCTCGGCCGAGGGGACCCACAGCTCGTGCGACGCTTTTAAAGCGTACTCTGAAGTATACAAGAAGAAGGATATAGATAGAGGGAAGTATGATCAGTATATATAGAGCTGATCAAAACACATAACAGTATCAGACTTGAAATCGCCAAGTTGAAGCAGATCAACATGTCCGACAGCCACAGAAGCGAACCACCTCAATCACCACCGGATGAGCAGAATCTGAAGTCACTGAGACGCACGGAAAAAGCCAATGATGAGCAGGAGAAAGATAATCGAAATGGTCCTCGTCATGTTCATCGAGGATTCCTTTCCTTTCTGTGCTTCGTCCCAGCAATCGAAGACCCGCGACAATATCCTGCAGGACGCAAGTGGTTCCTGACTGCCATAGTGGCAGGAGGAGGACTGGTTGTGCCTCTGAGCAGTGGTGTCTTGTTCCGTAGGTCCTCTCTAACTGCCTGTGCTGACGGAACCACTATTGATATGAACGATAGCCTGCCTCATCATGATCGCTGAGGATCTTCACACGACCGTCTCTGTCGTGAACCTGTCCATCGCCTTTGGCTCTCTCTCCGTCGCCATCACACCCCTCTGGTGGTCCCACCTGGCAGAACTCTACGGCCGCCGACTCGTCTACCTCTTCTCCTTCTTCTTCCTCGGCCTCTTCAGCATCCTAGCCGCAATCAGCCCTAACATCGGCATGTTCATCGCAATGCGCCTCCTCAGCGGTGCCGCTAGCGCATCCCTCCAGGCCGTCAGCGCCGGTACCATCTCCGATATGTTCGACGCACAAGAACGAGGCAAAGCGATGGGCGCGTTCATGCTCGGCCCGATGCTCGGCCCCATGTTCGCGCCCATTATCGGCGGCGCCCTGGTCACCCGGTGGAGCTGGCGCAGCACGCAGTGGTTCATGGTGATCTATGGGTGGGCTGTGTTTCTCATCATGGTATTCTTCATGCCGGAGACGGCAACGAACCTCGAAGAGAACCAGTGGGACGAGCGGGCTACGTCGACAAGAGCGATGAGAGTTGTTAATCTCTTGCTGAAACCTATCAAGGCGGCTACCTTGCTGCAGTACCCGCCCATCCTCATCACCGTGTATTACACCAGCATCGTCTTTGCAACGTACTACCTCATCTGCGTCTCCATTGAAGATACCTTTGCCTTGCCGCCGTACTCGTGGAGCTCGATCATTGTTGGAGTCGCGTATATCCCCGCCGGGCTGGGCCTGCTGTTTGGTGCGATCATCGGCGGCCGCTGGCAGGATTATATCATGAAACGGACGGCGCGGGAAGAGGGGCGCTTTGACGACGAGGGCAATCTCATCTTGCATCCTGTTGACCGGCTCGGCGAGAACTGCCTGCTGGCGGGTATTCTCTTCCCGGGGGCATTGCTGTGGTGGGGGTGGACGGCGGACAAGCATGAATTCTGGCTGGTGCCGGTAAGTACGTCTTGCATCTGGTCACTGGCAAAGCTAACGATATAGTTGATTGGTAACTTCTTCTACGGCTTTGCGGGAATGATTCTCACCAATGTGACCATGACGATGCTGACCGAGTTCACGCCGAAGAGGTCAACTATGGGCGTTGCGGTGAACAATCTCATGCGGAACAGTCTGTCCTGTGTGAGTGCGGTGATTGCGCAGCCTCTGTTCGATGCTATCGGTACTGGCTGGTCCTTTACAGCAGCCTGTCTCTTCTGTCTGCTCAGTGGGGTACCTTTGATTCTGTTGAGGATCAAGCGGGACGACTGGAGTGCGAGGATGAGGGTGGCTCTGGGGGATGTGCAGTAGTGATACCTCAATACATGTTTGGTTATAAAGACTACGAGAGTAGAAATCGAGAATAATGGAATTACATGGTTCTGATGTTATATCTCCATCACCGGAAAGCAATCTGAACAGACTGCAAAATAACCTGCAATAGGGCCAGCAGCGTACCAAGCGCCCCAAAAACGATGACAGCCCAGAAGGTCAGCCAGTGAGCCGAATCTCTGTTATCACGCCAGAGCTGGACCCATTACGGGGCGTGGCTCGTGCCAGATGATCCTGCAGCACCGATAGCCGATACCGAAGAACCGGAAAGTCTCTGGGAAGGTAGTATTCTGCAGTCTCCAAGAGCACTGACCCGTGACAAGACCGCTTCCCACAGAGGATCGGAAGAAGCGGATCAGCCACTGCCCTTGGAACATCGCTGAAGGGATCGAGAGATCGAAACAAGGCGCGAGACTTCTTCGTTTGTCCGAACAAGAGGCGATATGACAGTAAGATCTCATTAAGCAAGCAGCCAACCTCGCTTTCTGTTGCCCATTGACAATGAAACCGATTCGTGGTGGCACATGCCTGCAGGACTGTTCTTTTGCCTGCTCCCGAGGAATGCGAAGGGCAAGACAAGATAAATGAAGGAAAGCGAAACAGAAACAGTTCTTTTGTGGCAGGGTTATACTCCAGGTGGCACGCCAGCGTGTCAACCCACTTCAACCGAACACCAGCAATGGAAGTAAGAAAGTGTGCATTGAAGCGCTTTGCGTTGACCTCGACCTTTCGCTGGAATGCTTCTCGGCTGGCCTCATCGTCACTCAAACAGAGGTTTCTGGACGGCAGGAGGACCCCGAAGCCCATTAGCAACTCGCTGAGAGGCATTCGCGTACAACTGGCTACCTCTATCTTCAAACACATATATGCGTCGCCCCTGTAGCCGCCTTGCTCATCATGAATCTCGAAATGCATATGATCGATGCGCCGGGGCTTAAAGAGCATTGTTTGCCAGCTCACGATACTGAGAACTAGATACAAAGCCGAGATATAATCGTTGTTGCCGTGACTGAGCTCCCTTATAATGCCGTCTTTGCAGAGCAGTGTCATCACCTCGTCGAAAGTGATCGACTCCCTTGTGACGAGATACTCGGCAATCTTGAAGAAGGCTCCTTCAAACTGCTCGAGCCGCTGCATATGGCCATTCTTTGCTTCCTGGCAATTCAATACGTCGAAGAACTCCGATGGCATTTGCTGTAGCTGCCATGCAAGCCAGGAACTGTACCATGACTGACATTTGGACTGGTAAGGCCATTGTTGTGCCGAAAGGAGACCATGTTTACCATGTTGAGAAGAGATTTGATTGGAGATTGCTGTTTCTATTTAGAGACATGCAACTATACAGATTTTGAGCGTGTTCTTACTTACCAAAAAAGGTTAATTGTTGGGTGTTCTTCTGCAGATGAGACTTCCACTGAAACCTCACCATGATTTCACAAGTAAGCAGTCTGCTGTGAGTCCCTGCTAATGTGTGTACTCAGTGAAATGGCGCATTCAGGGATATAGAAATGTAATGACATGATCAACTTGAAAAAGAAAGGGAAAAGCCATATAAGCACCACTTCTCCCTCTGTTTCAGGTCAATCTCAAACTGCCCCTGATATGCACGTTCTTCCGCACACCCTGCTTGCCGCTGGGCATGAAGTTCAGCAAGGTCTTGAGATTATCCTAGATATACCGAGACCTTGCTGAACTGCAGCCAGCTTGCAGCTATATTTAGTTGAATAGCTAGATATAATTCAGGGGGGTTCGTCATTTTCGTCCTTTCCAGTGAAAAGGATATGTATATGAAACCGAATCCATGGAGAGCACCTCATTTGACTTCTATATACGTAGTGTAAGCAGATGCATAGATCTGATCGTCCAAGCTTAGGAGGCTTTAGTCTCATGTAGCAACAAGGATATATTCCACCCCAGCTAATGGGATTGCTTCAAAGGCCGCCGTGGCGGGGAATTTGGGGAGACGCCGCCAGTAATAAAGCCGCGATAAGCTCGACCATGCCTCTAAATCTAATCGAACGCAGCTCCTCCAATAGTTTGCATATGCTTTGTTTTGGTGGCAGTTGTCCCTCTCATAGCCCACTGTGGCATGATTTACCCACCTGAGAAGAGAGATGTGTTTGCGGGGCGGTTGCTGTTGATGCCTATAATTATCCTCCTAATTCTTACGAACCTTTCTACGGAGTACTAGACTACTAATCCCCCCCGGCTAAGCTTTTGCAATCGACTGATCAGGAACTGCCACAATAATGCGTAAGCCCGAGATATTTCAGCTTTCGGTAGCGGCCTCCTTTGAAGGCCTCACCAGCAAAGAGAAGCTCTACGCCCACCACACGGCCAGGTAAGAGGCCCTAACTAACAGCATTTAACAGTCACACTGACGGTCAGACAGAGCCGCATGGCATGGGACAAGAATTATTCTTCGACAAGTGTCTCCAGAAGCAAACGATATTTTCGACTTCATCATTGCCCTTCACCACAGCTGTGATGGTCAATGGGAACAGCTAGCAAGAAGAGCGCAAGTGGATATGACTGAAGTGGAAAAATTCCTTGATTATGCAGCGGTTTTTCTCTCCAATATCGGAAATTACTTTGTGAGTACATACGCACTTGTGTCTTGCGCATTTCATAATTTGATTCTGTTGTAGGGCTCTGGGGATCAAAAGTTCCACCCTGATATCTCACCCGATGACCTGGAGAAGCTGGCGAACTGTGACCCTACCAGATCACAAATTTTTGCAAAAGTTCGGGATGCATTGTTTCGACCATTGCCCGATAGTCTGGGTGTCCCGAGCGACACCTCCCAAAGCACGTACTATCTTGGAGATGGGACCCTTGACAATATGGACGAGGTCTCCGCCGTGTCCAAGTTGATGGAATCGTCAAATATATTTCCTGAAAATACTAGATTGAGGAAGAGTGTCACCACGGAGGGTGGAATCTCCCGCCGGGCATATGCTATCCTGCAAGCCTCAGTAGAAGAAGATGAAACCGCTCTTCAAGAACCCGATCATCAGTCTGCCAATGGCACAAGAATTCTCTTGGTTCGGGGTGACCACAAAGAAGAACTTAAGAAGATCAGTCAGAGCCTGGGACAAGCTGTGAAGTACGCCGCCAATTGCGAACAGCAGAAACTGCTGTCAGGCATTGCAGAAAGCTTTTCTTCTGGCGACCTCAATGCCTACAGGGAAGCACAAAGGGTCTGGGTCAAGGATAAGGCCCCAAGGGTCGAGACTGTGTTTGGATTTGTCGAGCCGTACAGAGATCCTCTTGGTGTTCGTGCTGAGTTCGAGGGGATCGTCGGAATATCAGATCCAGAAAGAACCAAAGTACTCCACAGGCTCGCTGAGATTGCCTCTGATATTATTCCTCAGCTCCCTTGGGCGGAAGGGTATGAGGAGAACAACGGAAAGGGCCCATTTGAGAAGGAGCTTTTTGATATTCCTGACTTTGCAAGCGTCCAAAGTGAGTTGCATCAACAAGGAGTTCTCCCCAAATCTAGAGAGCTAACGAGACTGTAGTTCTGGCTTATTGCTCGAGCCTGGTGTTTCCCGGGATCAATCTCCCAAATGTAAGTGATCGCCTGCATAAAAGACACTGCCGTTGATTAACTTCCAATTGATAGTACAATGACATCAGACAAGAAGATGGTTTCAAAAACATTATCTTTGCTAACCGCATGATAGCAGAAAGTAAACGAGCCAGGGGCATACATATGATCCATGAATCAGAGCGCAAATTATTCCAGGAGCACCGCTTTACAGCATACTACATTTGGGTAGTTCTCCATGAGATACTGGGGCATGGCACGAGCAAGCTCCTTCAAGAGGACTCCCAGGGGCATTTCAACTTTGACAGAGAGCACCCGCCATTGAACCCACTCACTGGAAAGCCAATTGACAGTTGGTATGGTCCAGGGGAAACCTGGACAGGAGTTTTCACAGATTTATCAACAACTGTGGATGAGTGTCGCGCTGAACTTGTTGGTGCTTATCTGATCGATGTTGCTGAGATCCTGGAGCTTTTCGGATGCACTGGAGACAGCGAGATCAAACCTGCTGACGGTAAGAGCCCGATAAATGCATAGGACTTGGCCTGACCTTTCTGCGACCAAGTGGTCTATAATCTCTATCAGCAACTAGGAGTTGATGGACTGCGAGCGCTCGAGAATTACAACCCATCCACCAAGGTAAGTGCAACTAGATGAAGATAAACCATAGAAGCTAAAATTCTATTCTAGAAATGGGGTCAAGCACACAGCAGAGTACGTAGCAGCAAGCGCGAAAGCAAATGTCTCTAACCATTCCAGGCACATTTCGGTATGCTCCAACACATGCTTCGTGACAGCAGCGGTCTCTACAAAATCATTCATGATAAAGAGAGCCAGACTTTGACTGTTCGAGTCAATCGATCCCTTCTTCAGGAAGGCAAGGCTTCCCTTGGCCGGATGCTTCTCCGCTTGCATATCTACCGCTGCACAGCGGACATACGCAGCTGCCGCGAGTTCTATGAAGATCTGACTACAGTCAATGAGGAGGCTTTGGGATGGAGGGAAGTGGTCCTCATGAAGAAGGACTCGCCATTGGCATTTTGCCATGCAAATACATTTCTACAAGGAGACAGTGTCATCTTAAGGGAGTATGAACCTACTGTTTGTGGGCTCATCCAAAGCTGGGCTGAGAGGGATGTCTAAGGTCCGGCTATCATACATGTTTATACGAGTTAGAACAGGAGAAATATCGCTCGTCGAGATGCCCCGCAGGATGGCGATGATGCTGATGTCCATATAAAGCTGCTACAGACATATCTCCGAGGTCGAGTGTAGATTTGAACAGTCCACAATGACATTAGTTCTAGGTGTACAGGGACTGCTTTATCAAGCTAATGAAGACAGAGCTATTTGACTAGCTCATTGCTGTAGAAAGGCAGGACTAGCAGCACGGCGCTGGACAGCCATGTGGCATGTTGCCTGTTCTCTTTGCTTTGTTCGAGGCTATTAGCATATATTTGATCAGAGCATGATAGAGATCAAGAGAATAACTGAGGCCAGTAACGTCGCACAGAGGATTTGATGACGACGCGAGGAAACGTGCGCGATTCAGACACCTCCATTCTCCCATAGTTCTGGAGCAGCGTCCAAAGCGGTGGCGAGTTGGGCAGCAGATGAGAATAGCAATTTTTCATATATAGATAACCCCTAGTGTGGCCTCAAAAGCCTAATTAGGTCATGGGCGAACAAGTATCCTTCACACAAGGCATGAGTCCTTGCAGATGTAAATAGTGCATAGAATGACTTGTCTCAATTAATGCTGCTTTAGGCCCTGGTCGAAAACACTGGGGCACAGCTGGAGACCACGTCGGTTTGGTGTCCTTGCTTACCATTCGCACACATCTCTTCATGTTCCGGCCCCAGTTAGAATTTTGAGCGATTTCTTACTATCCAAAGTCCAACCTGGTTCATTGGTTGAATCAGCTTCTGGCTGTGACAATTTAATGACTAGCAGACTTTTCTAAGCTGCTAAGCAAATTAAGGGAATAACACTTATACCCAGTCATTGATCTCTTATACATCAGATACCTTTCACAGTCTATCTAGTTACATTAATCTACTTTCTATATCTTTATGTTTGTCTAAGCATGCACTGAGGTTATTAAGAATATTAATATTTACATCAAATTAGCCTCACTATCTGATCATTAATATTTCACTTTAGTGAGGTTAGGGGCTAGTGGGCTCATGACTACTGTACCTCTGTAGTCAGTTCCTATTACCATTCACTCACCTCTCTAAGAGCTCATAATGACACCTACTTGAACACCTAACTATTAGGCATCATTTCAAATACCCCTTTCTGGCATCCCCATCCTGCTTCTTCCTTCCTTCTTCACCTCCCTGATCATCATCACTTCCATCGTCTCGCAATCTTCGAACTTGGAATAGAGCATACTGAGTGCTGAGCTGAGGCCGCAATCAACATTCGGTCTTTTCTGAAGTAATCAGTGGACTGCCAGACAGCTACATCACTCATCCGTTCACCAGTCTCAATAGACTTGAATCGACGCGTTAGGGTCCTCCATTTAAACCAGAAAACAATGCTCAATCTGCTACGGTTCGAAAGAAGCTAGCACTTGGACCTCTCTATCACACTTCACCTGGCAGGGTATCCAGATATTTCAAGTTCACAATGACAGATGTGACTCGCCTGATAGTATCGCGGATTTCAATGCAGTTGGCCGCACGACAGGAATAAAAGCGGACCTGGCAGGCATGGAATTCTTGATCCACTGCCCCCCCGACCTCCCTCCAAGAAGCCGGATCGTTTCGCTTTGTGGAATTACGGACTGGGGTGATGGTGCCAGCCCCCAAAAAGATGGCTGGTTCATATCGGACTTTTACCTCTTTCACCATCTCCTACGCCCTCGTGGTAAATCCGTCTCTTTCCTTGGTGATTGCTCTCTTTTACATATGAAACTTGGCTGACTAAAAGCTCCCCAGGTCCTCTATCAACTAACCAAATCTGGTTGACCTCAGAGAGCCCCGATGATTTGGTCCGAAAATATACAGAATATGCACACGGTGATCCCCACGGGGAGAGACGAGTCGTCTTAGACATACAGTTGTTGGATGAGATCTCCTCTGCGGGGAACTTGCGTGTTGTCGCCCGAAAGGACCTCCTTGAGAAATTCCTCAACACCGTTCGCGAACAGGCCCTGATTGCGGAACGCCAAAGCGAACAGCTAGTTATTATGATATTCGGCCATGGAGATGCCGAGAACTTTGGGGTCCTCGTTGGCGGCGAAGGGAAACCTCAGAGCGCTCCGCGACTCTTCATGCGAAACATCAGCAGATTGCTTCCCAGCGATGTGTCAGTAACTCTGCTGATAACATCCTGCTATTCTGGAGGCTGGCTCGTCTGCCCGGATCTCTCGAGATCTTCGCGATACCTCAATGTGACCGGTATTGCCGCCGCCGGAGAGGAGAACGAATCCCACTCCTGGCCCGTTAGCAGAAGTATAGGCCGTGTAAGCGGCAGCTTGGCCGCCTCTGCCATTCTTGCGTCCCTGATCAAGGTTGAAGAGGAGGTGTCAGAAGAGTTGCAAGAAATCTCGCCACACCCAACATACATTGAATTTAGCCATTCATTATTTGAAGCCATCAAGGCAATGCACTTTTTCGGAGAGGAACAGAGGATACACTTTAGCGCAGAAGACGACGAATGGGAGATGAATTACCAGAGTCGTCTTGGGCTCCCGCTGGCATCCTACAAGACTCGATGGGAGTCCCTCCGAGCGATCCCGACAACCGCACCCTCTGAAGGGGACGCAGGGGAAGCTCTTCTTCCAAGAACAGGAAATGCACGACAATGTGGACGGCTTCAGGTCCTGGCTCGAGAATACTTTGCTGCGAATCCCGGTCCAGACAATGCTGGGCCCAATGTAGCGTTTCACAACACGCTCAAATTCATTCTGCGCGGGAGAACCGATTTCGCCAAAGAGGAACTCAGCAGTTTGTTTGACATAGTGACATACAGGCTTGGCTCCATGCATGAAGCCGACTACCTCCGGACGCAAATGGAAATTGAGTTTCCTTCAATCTTCGACGTTGATATCTACGAATGGAAGAAAGCGAACTGGCCTGAATTCACTGCCCAAGACAGAGCGAAGAAAGAGCAGACTCAATCGAAAATTCGTCGTCTCATACAGCAGAGGCGGCTCCTGACACGCCCCATCGGGGGTGGCTTGTCATACACAAAGCCCATCAACTACCTCGCGCTTGCCCTCCTTGAGTCGGGGTTACCATGGGAAGAAATCGACAACAGAATCAAAAATGCCAGTCTACAGAAGGTGGCATGGTACCGTTTGGTCTACAAGGCATGGCGAGGGAAGGGTGTGGTTAAAAATGAGGCGGTCATTACCCGCCGACGGGCATTTTTCGAAACGGTTAAGAGGATGGGTTGGAAGATCATTGAGAGGAATGAGTCATGGTGAACTAGGTTTGAGCTTACTAAATTACTGAACTCCCTCTAAATGGTAAAATCCCCTTAGCTCTAGATTATTGACTCAACCATCAGCCAGTCTAGGCAATGCTACAGGTTGATGAAGAGGACCTGAGTACCTCCAGTTGGCCAGATATGAATAGCAGATTTGGACATGAGACATGCATCCTGCGGTCATTGCAGTCAATGAGGCGCGTGCCATATCTTTCTGATACTACTCGCGCAAGGGGAGGGGGAGAGGAGCCTATGATGGAGCGTACCTAATGCAAGCGGTAGTTATCTTCTGAGAGCACCGGCTTGCGTAACGACGCTGTATTCCACCTCATGAACCGTATATATGAGTGTCGGAATAAGAGCCGTCGGTCTTAATGTCTCACCAGCTTTCCTCCTGGAATCGGGGGCGACCCCGAGCGACATTCGCTATCCAGACCCCGTCATCTCCACCGGGGCTCGGGGTCGCAATCTGCAGCATCTGACACTTCTGTCAAGTCCACATTCACAACGTTGAATATAGGACGACCCTCAATAGTATATGAGAGGGCCTAGACAGGTAACCAAGCTGGTATCCGCAGAAGGGCATCACAGCCAGCCCGCCTAATATGTACCACAGAGTCATAACGGGTATACCGTTCATAGTCTCGCAATGCGCTTATCCGATCCTTTGGGTAATTGTATGAATTCCAGATCCCCTGCTGCAGTAGCACGAGTCCAGCATAGCGCCGTAACGGCGTAGCGCCATGCCAGAACCGTATCAGAATACAGCCCTCGAGGACACGAGCCTGTGCAACACAAACGGTTCGACGCCGCTGCTTCGCCCCTATGCAGGGGCGTGGATGGAACAATACGAGTCAAGTGCAGGAGAGTCGTGTGTGCGGGGTCAAATACTACCGGCGCTTGTAAAGGTTTCGGAATGCTGTTTCAGCAGGGGGCCTTTTCTCGAGGTTGGCTTGCAAACGTAGTAGAAAAAGGGGCTTGGGTTTAAGTCAATGTACGGATACATCTTATTGGATATGGGGTAAGTTCAGACAATAACGAACCTTTTCCCGCTGAGGCGTTTTGACAAGGATCCATCTCTGCCAATCTTTAGCAGAGACTCTATATACTTAGTATTGCTGTTTGTATATACGGAGTACTCCGAACTGATGGCGCAATCCTACAGAGGCGGACTACTTCAGATTTCCTTTTTGCGGCGCAGGCAACTTGCAGCATCTTTTACCACTCAAAAGCCTCGCGCTGTATAACCGCCCCACACAAGTCAGCCTAATCATTTCAGATAATCTCCATATAAAATGGCCTACCCAGCGCCAGTTTCTTCCGTCTGTCAGATTACAAACTGGATTACCTAGAGCACATACCTACCGAGGCTGTGAAGCATGCGCGACAACGGTGCCAACGCTCCCAGCACTCCTTTGAAGAGCCCCAGACCCTCATCCAACCCTCTCCAAGACCACGTCTTACCCTCGGTCGAGTTCACTTTCTCCTTCAGTCCCTCATCTGCAGGTAGATTGACCCCGATATCCTCCGTAGAGGACTCGCTCGACCACCAGGTCGAACGACGCTCCCTCACAGCCAACACCCAGTCCCTCTTTCAGAACTTGCGCCTGAGCGAAGCCATGAGACATCCAAATCACAGTTCCCAGACTGATCCCAGTAGTGGCCCGAGAGAATCTGGGTTGACCCCTAACTCCCATCATACGACCTACAGGGACCTCTACAATGCCACTCCTAGTCCAGGAGGTGCTTCTTCCAAAGAACCGAGCCAACGGCGGCCACAGACGCCATCATCTCCGCTGGGTTCTGTGAGCTCTCATTCCCCGAACCTGCATCCAGCGGACTCGGGGGATACGGCAGCCAAGGATTCAGATCGCGACAACGATCCTGAATCTGACGAGGACTCACTGCAGATCAATAACAGTGAGGACGATGACGATGACGAGGATTACCTCTACAATATCCGCCAGGAGGAACTTCCCCAGGTGCCGATCTACGACATTCGGCTCCAGAATGCACTACGGAATGTAAGAGGCGAGCTCGCAGACCTCGCGCAAGTTATGAGTCGGCGCGAGCTGGCACAAGACCCCACAACCGCCTTTCATGAACTGTATAAACAGACGCTTGAGGCGAGCAGGTTCGCGTATCCCGCGACGCGGACTGTTGGATTTATCGGTGACTCGGGAATGGGTAAGCTTGCTGGGTTCAGGATGCGAGGAGACGCAGGGCTAAGTGAACCCGCAGGAAAAAGTAGTCTCATCAATTCCATCCTTGACCAAGAGGGTCTGGCTCGGTCGGTGAGTTCAAAGATCAGAATTTGTTTCGGCTCCTGTGAATGATCTCAAGTACTCATGTGGAATTCCCCAGAGCGGAGACGGAGCTGCTTGCACCACTGTCGTCACAGAGTTCCGGAGTGTGAACGAGGAGCATCCGCAAAACTATACCATCGAGGCAGATTTCATGGATAATGCCGAGATCCGAGAACTTCTTGAGGAGCTGCTGTCAAGCGTCAGGAAATACTACACGGACGCCTACCGGGACGTTCGTGATGCAACAGAACAGGAGGACATCAAGGCTGCTGCTAAGAGAGCCTGGGACACATTGCTCTCTCTTTTTCCCAACCAGCCGGCGCTTGAACTTGACTTCCTCTCTAGGGACGGAGAGGATGCGGTAGAGTCTATTGTGACAACATTGGAAGAGTGGGCAATGGCTGGGTTGGACCACCGCCCTGGCGGACGCGACAGTCTTCTGTATTCCGCTGTAGCTCGCCACGCTGATGAATGTATGGAGCAGCTGGATAACCTTATGGCTGATTCAAGGGAGGGTGATAGGCCGGCACTATGGCCTTTTGTCAAGTTGATCAGGTTTGAGAGAATCTAGTCTGCAGCCTCTTTTTTGATTCGTGTCTAACGGTGACTAGGGTTTATTTGCGATCGCCGATTCTGCGCACTGGCTTAGTGCTGGCTGACCTCCCTGGTAAGGCATTTTTCTGGCTCTGTATCTTTTGACGGCGAGTAATTGACAGACGTTCAGGCTTTCGTGATCTGAACTATGCTCGAGAACGGGCAACTGAAAGGTATCTTCGCCACAGTTGCGACGAGGTGTTCATTGTTAGTACGATCATTCGTTGTACGACAGACCAGTCGATTGGTGATATCATTCGCCGATGTGCACAAGGCCAACCGATACGGATCGTTTGTACTCGTTCAGAGGCAGGCTTTCTCTTCCCCAACCCGGTGGGACCGGAGCTAACGAGACAATCCCAGGATGTGGATGCTAGAGAGACAGCACGGACATCCTCTGCGGGCGACGCCAGACATATCCTCGATCTTGACAGCCGAATCCAGAACCTCGCACGAAGAATCAGGCAGATACGGTCTCGTAGACGACAAGCCAGCGGAAGTAGAAGTCAAAATCTCGCTGCGGAGGAACTCGCCCTTAGGTAAGTTTCGTCCGCTCAATTGCGGTTAGGACGCAACGTGACCAGGCATTACCAACAGCGACGAGAAAGAGACACTGGAATTCGAGTAGGTGGCCCTTTTGCTTTGCTGCACGGATTGGATATTTTGTGCTGACTGAATGCTGGTCAGGCTGAAGCGGTTACTCATTGTAAGACGGAATAAGCGCGTAACCGAGTCTTTATCGCGTGCCTGGAGCAACCAAGCCCGGGTATTCTGCGTGAGCAATAAACTTTACGCAGACCACCGTGCAAACGATCCCGAGCAAGCCAACGGATACCTCGAGCTCAGTGGTATCACAGAGCTTCGTCGCTATTGCCAGTCTGTTCCCGCAGATGCGCAGCTTCGTGCAACGGAATCTTTTCTGCAAAATCAAGTGCCCGCACTTCTAGGTTCCCTAACTCAATGGGCATTGGCGGGTTCCGACGCCGTCACTGTAGGCCGGGCGGAAGTTCTGCGCGATGCCTTGAACGAAGCCGAACAGACTCTCCAACGGGTATGGTGACTGTCTTATCGGGCAACCGGTTCCTTTTTTATCCTTTCAAGATTGGAAGTGCTTTGGCAGCTTCGAAGTGATGGTCAAGAGTGCATAATCGCTGACATCTTCTAGAGCATTGCCTCTCCTCGGTCAGGAGTCCGGCTTGCGCAGAGCAGTCTAGAGCGACAGTTTAGTGATTTGATTATACAAACCATACGTGCGCCCAGAACCTCACTTTAGCCTTCGAGAGACATCATAGTAACCCCGGCACAGGCAACTCCCGGAACAGTTGGAGAGATCATGCAGTCGATGCGAGCAGGGAATGGGCAACCGTAAGTCAAACAGACAAGTGAAATAGCACATAGAGTTGTACCTGATGGGGGTTCACAGTGGCACCATTCGACCTACGCCGCTTGGTGTCGCAACTACGGGACACACCAAACGGCGAAGCAACCATATCGCTGCTGGAACGAAGAAATCCTCGGTCCGGGAAGTGATCAACTATCCATCAGATGGGATACCATGCTTGGTTGGCTTGAAGAGAAAAGAGATGAACTTGACGAAGAACTGTCTGATATTTTTCAGCACATCTGCGACTCGATTGAAGGTAGGAGTTGTTCCACCTTTCAACCAGCGTCAAGAAAGGCGACAAACCCAAGATTTGGGTGGCTGACTACGCTCGTTAGAACACCATGATATAGCACCGGACAGCCTGGGTAATTTGCTCTTGAACATGGAAACGCGGCAAAGATGTATAGGAGACGCCATCCATAGCTCCTTGGATGACCTGCTTTATGCAACTGAGTATTTTATCCACGGCTTCTATTCGGCGCGGAGGATGACTGACCTGCTATCAGAAAAATCAAGTCCGACGCAATAGGCGGACACGCTAGCTCCTATATTGCGGGCGTCATGCGTCCGGTGTATAATACCTGTAGGGAGCAATATGGTATGATACCGAGAACTCCACTTTGGCATATTACTCTCAAACACGTCTTTTTTCACTAACCACAGACTGCGAACCGTAGGAACGGGCAGCGACTCCAGACGCAAGCAAACCATGAACCGACATCTCTCATCCTCACCTTTATTTTTAGAGTTGGCCAACAGGCTGACTGGCGACTATCGTGGACTTATTGAGAGGACTTTTAGTCAGCTCGACCAAAAGCTTCGCGAGGAGCTCTCGAGTATTACAAGGGATTTGCGGGCTTCGGTCACGGTAGAGGGCGAGACATCCGAGGCCGGGCAAGATCCCCGACATGCAGAAGAATTAAAGCGGAGGGTGGGAGTAATCCAGGACGCGTTGGTTCATGCCCAAAGAATTGTAAGAGAGGTCCGGCAGTGATGGTATAGTCAGAGTGAATTGCATTTCATCGTTTCTTTCTGCATAACAGGGCAGAATGTTGCAGTTAGGAGGGGTGTCTCTTGTAATGGTCTATCTGTTAAGTTGTACTCAGCACAATCAGTTTCGCCTCCCAGTGTAGTCTGCAGGCAACCGTCTCAACCCCATTGACGATCCCGTGCACTGCGAGACTAATGAAAAAGAAAATCCGCCACAGTTGAAGGGCTGTGGCCAGTTTATATGCCTTAGATCTGACTTGCCGTCTCGAACCATTTTTGTGGTTCACTTTCGAGAGATATGCGGACGAAGAACGATGTAACAATGTCTCGTATGTGGCTAGGGCATCCTTCCATAGTGGTGAATCTGTAAGGGCTACGTTTGGGACCTCTCTTTTACAGACTATCCCAGGCACCGAACGTTGATTAGCGCAAGTTCTTGACGGGATAGGTGCCCCTCACATCATGGCACTTCCCCTCCATCCGCATCCTTAAGAAGCATTTGAAGGGCATAGTGTCTGCCAAGAAAAAGTCGTACAGGCTCTGGCCCAGGGAGCTTCGAGCAGGCCGTAAGACGGCTGAGAGCTCCTCCTTCACAATACTCCATCCACCTTCGTTTTCAAGTCCAAGGGAACCTAGTAAAAAGCCTACGTGGCGCGGCAGTATTGCATGGTGGACCTTAGACCACACGTCATGTAAATTGTGCGTCAGCCTCGCGCTGCCAGAGGGCACCGAATCGAGCTTTACCCCGTGCTGCCGTATCGTGGGGACGCAACATGTATAGAATGAAAAGCTGTGACCAAAGCATATGAGAGAGTGTGAACAGCAGCAGCGCAAAGATTGACGGGCAGCTAGCGCAGTGTATATGTACATAGTAAACCTCTCCACTTTAATCAGTCATTTCAGGGCATTATCGCCCACATCAGTCGTTCTTTTCTAACCACTCGCCCCCTTCTCATGGCGTCTCGTCCCATTCGTCCCAGCCACGTCGATAGTCATCCTCACCCCCAAAGCCAAGTGCTTTAGTGCGTTCGAAGTAGGGCCCGTAATCCTCATCATCGTCGAAATCCTCAGGGTTAAGATCCCAGATAACCTCTATCATCCACGTAAGCCATGGAGGTGGCGGTGGCCATTTCCGAAAATACTCAATCCGTTGAGACTCATCAAGGCTTTCTTTTTGTTCCTTCCACCAGGTAAAGAATATCATTATATAGTCTTCGCCAGCGCCCATACGCCAGCATATGCTGTATGGACTGGTGTCCTGGAACATGAACCAAGGAGGGGGAACTGCTCCGTATTGAGCGACCAGCTCTGCAATTTTATCCTTAGGGCGTGTTGAGTCGTCCATTGTGTATGTCACTAGAGTATGTCATGTGACTGAGGGCCAAAGTAGAGATGCGACGATATAGCAGTCAGCTTGCTGCTTCAACTGAACTTGGGTGACGCGCGCTGCGCACACGGTGACTATGAAATGCGCAAAATGGGAGTTGTATAAGTGAGATTGCAGCAAGCAGGCAAATTAGGTGCAGGAATAACAGTGAATAGGAGCAATACTTAGAATTAAAACCAATCAATCAGCATCCAGATCAGCAATAAGTTGACTGTGGGAGTGCAAGCAAAGCTTCGCGGGCAGCGCGCGTGGGCTAGTATCCGTGCCAGGCGCACCTACACCACTTCTGTGGTCAGGGTAACGTGACCTCAAATCCAACCAAGCACCAATGAGAGAGAGGCTTGGCGGGGGAGGAGGGTGTGTGTTTCTTGCTGTTTTTTGGCAGCTGTGGGGTGGGTAACCCCTTTCACTGTGTTCCTTGGAGTGGTTAAACCCAACCCAAAAGCCCCAACCTAAACCCAGTCTGAACCTGCCATGGGTTGGGTTTGGGTTCTAATTCTTAGAACCCTTTAGGTTGTGCTCTAACCAGCGTTCAAGTACCCTTGAATCCCATTTATGAAAGGATTTTTCTGAAACATTTGGCTGCTTCAGAGCGAGATTGCCATATATCCTTTCTGTCAAGTGATAATTTGACGAATATTGGCCCCTTTGCGGCGTGGATATTCTTCTCAAGCACGGGTTCCATAAGGACAAGGGAAGTGAAAGGTGCGGATGCAGTAAAGATAAGAGGACTGTGCAACGATGGTTCATTCTCATCTACCCTGAATTTACCTTTCTTATTTTGAAGATGACGTACTGTTGACCAGTCGGACAATCGGTCTCGGCATACCAGCCTTGAATGTATTAACCATATGGAGGAGATCTCGAGCACGGTCAAACCATGACGCTACCAGAAGTCAAGCAACGGATGACCGTTTCAATCAGGGAGGATATAAAACCAACTCACGGTCATTCCTTAGATACTCTTCATTTAGCATACCACTTGCCGATTGGTTCGCAGTATCTGCAATCCAGATCGAGCGGATCCGAATACCCTGGGTACTTAGTCTGAGAAGCATCTCTTCCCAAATTGGCTCGTAAAGCTCCTATTGTTGGAATAGATCAGAAATATGTGCTTCTTTCTCTAGCCCCCTTATATGACAAGCAGCCCGTTACCGATCTGAGGATTATGACTAACCTTCGGAAATCCACTACCATGAGCTCCAATAATCGTGACATCTGCTGGTTGAGGATTTGGATTTCACCTTGAGTGTATGCTTTCACCGCGGCTGCAAGTGATAAGCGCCTGAAATAAAAGAACCGTCAACCGACAGTATGTGGAGCCTGCACTGACGTGTCACCAGCTGAGATGCATTGCAGTATAGCCAACCATGAATCAGTCACAGCATCACGACTCAAGATACGCAGCTTTTATAACACTTCATCCTTTTCTGGTTTCTTTTCTTTTTTTTTTTTTCTTTAAGGCTGAATACCTTTCTTTCCTCTAGCTGCTGAATACCCTCCATACTTACCATATTTTATCAAACTTGTTGGTACTCCTTTTGCGCAGACTTGCCTGTGAATCCTTCCCTATACCCAGAGACAAGAACCAGTACCCTATACACAGGGAAATAATGGCACTCTTCAGATCCAAGTATAGCGTGAGCGCACCCTCAACAGACCTTCTGTCCTATTTATTTGGTTCGCCCTATAGGAATGAAGGAGGCTGGGAATCATCAGAGCCTCTTATGGAATCAGCAGCAGAAGGCGAATTTCCAGGATATTCGATCGACCAAATCAAGAATATTGTGAAGCGAGTTGGCTGCGGCCTTAGTCGGTTGGGGGCTAAAGGAAAGCGGGTAATGGTCTATGGTGACGCTAACATTAATTTCCCCTTGTTGTCCTTGGAGTTATTGCTGCTGGAGCAACATGCAATATTCTCGCCCCTGGCCCTGTGGACGAACTCATTTCCCGTCTGCGACAACTGAACTGTGACCTTGTGCTCTTCGCACCGCAGGATCTCGAAGCTGTCTGTACTGCCGCAGCAACATTGAGTATTCCCAGCGAGCGTCTTTTTATGGTTGATGAGTCTCTCGGTGGCGAGCATACCAACGCTTCAGAAGACGGTGCTTTTAGACACTGGGGCCATCTCTTGAAGACGCCTGGCGGTGACATTTATGAGTGGCCTAGACTCTCTCCCGATGAGGCAAGAACCATGACTGCTGTCCTGCTCTACACTTCTGGGTACGTTCACTTGGTGTATGCATGCTACTTGATGCAGATGTCAACTGTTAACTTCGTTATAGGACAACAGGCTCCTCGAAACTCGCTGAACGAACTCACTACAGTCTTATTGGTAATATTGAACAAACTTTACAGCACTACAACCTCCGCGAAAGGAGAAACGAAACCATATTCTGCAATTACAAGTTCTGCGGTATGGGATTTTTAATATTAGGCATCTTGCTCCCTTTGAAGGCTCGATATAAGACTATATTCCCCCCTAGGTTTGAACCAGAAATATTCATGAAGACAATTGAACGATTCAAACCTACCTGGTTGATGCTCCCTAAGCATCTGATACGCGAGCTTCTGACAAAGTTCGACAAGCCCCGCTTCGCCAGTGTACAACATGTACTCACAGGCGGCGCTATCATCTCTTATGAAATGATCGAGCAGTGGCAGCGACTGCATGGATCTCAAGTGCAGAGTACATATGGAATGACTGAGTAAGTAACCTTGTATGATGTTCCTCTTTTGACCCGCACTCAGAGCACGGCTTAATCCAATACTTGGCCAACTTAGGGCGGGCCTTTTTACTATGCCAGATCCAACCCAGCTGGTAGAGGACGCCACAACAGGAGTTTTGCTTCCCGGTGTCGAGGCGAAGATACTTGGTGATGACGGCAAATTGTTAGGCAGGGGGCAAAAAGGGCACGTTTACATTCGGACTCCATTTGCAATGAAGGGTTACTTTAATGAACCCTGGCAAACTACGCAGACCATAACGGAGGATGGATGGATCAAGACCGGTGACATTGGCTGGGTTGGTGAGCGTGATCAATTCTATATTGTTGGTCGCCAAAAGGTACGTCTTTTTGCCAAAGGGTACGCGATGTCTAAATGTGCTGCTGAACATATCGAGGACCTATTCAAAATCAACGGTGACAACGTTTCTGCAGCGGAAATCGAGACAGCTATCTTACAGCATCCGGCAATTACGGATGCCGCTGTTATTCCTGTACTTCTGTAAGGCCAAATATATCTTTTCTATCTACTGTTCTTTGTGCTGATGGATTTATCTCTATCTTCCTGATGTACAGACCTGGAGATGAAGAGCCTGTTCCTCGTGGTTATATTGTCAAGGCAGAAGACTCTGCCTTGACAATAGAAGAATTGATGTACTGGATGCGGGCAGAACTGACTTCACGCATGCAACTCCGTGGTGGTGCAGCCCTCATTGATGCGATTCCAATTTCAAATGTGAGTCGGCCATGCCTTGAGTCTCAACCTCTGGCTCACACTTGACCTTCAGGTCGGAAATAGCAAAGTCGATCGTCAGCGACTGATCGAGCTTGCTGAGAGCGAGCTGCAGGTTCTAAACTAGGCAGAACAGGATACGGGCAAGCAAAAGCACGGCGCTTAAATCTGCTTATCTGTCCAGCGACGATCATTTACTGTTTCATCAAAGCACGACTTTGGAAGAACTGTATGCTTCCAGAGCTTGCTTATATCATCGGCAGCGGAAGAAGTGGGAATCAGGCGTGCTTCACTATTCATATGCAGTACTGAGAGCAGGACCAGCCTTCTTCCTCATTTATTAGAGTGGATCTGCAGACGATGCGAGGATAAACAATCCTAGGGCATAGGTCTACCAGGTGCTATTACACCCATCCTTAGCTACCTCATATACTAATGGGAGTTTCACTGTTATTAACATCAATTGACATAAAACTCTATGCGCTTTTGCGTTCGGTAAACACATCAGTGGAAACTGGGTTCTAGCCCGATTGTAATATAGCCCTCTGCACCTTAAACCATTAAAAGTCTGCAAAAAATAAATCCACGCTACAGCCCCTGTTTCGAAAAATAAAGTGAGGGTTGGTCGGGCGCCAAAATGCCTGGTAATAAAGCCCCTGCTTTCTTTCGGAAAGACATATGAGGGTTGATGTAGAGGCGGGAGCAGAGAGGACTCCCAGCACGACCATATTTCACACGCCGCGACTTTTCCGTGGAGTTGAATAGTCACGGGCTTCATCACTTCTGTCCAGAAACCGTGCACACGCGAGCTCTCGAGAGGACTCGTGATATCGAACTTTCCATCATCAGTGAGGCCGAGAATATCCTGCTGCCATATCTCACTGTACTTCCACTGGTCTTCACCATCGACTTGCACGTGGCACACAAGCACAGTACAACTATGCCTGAGATAAATATCTTTAGACGTGGAGCTGAAAACCATGTTGACGGTGCGATTGTTTTGATCAGGAGAGGAAGAGAAGAAAAGAAGTAGAAGGGCCGGATTGAGCAGAATCCACTCTTTCTCTCGGGTGCTTGCTTTTAAACCATTCAGACAGCCGGCCATGCTGAAGACTCGGAGCCGAAGAATATGAATATACTGCTTTCAAACCCCACTTCATGTTCTGCTATTCCTTAATAGCGGGATATTTGGCAGAAGTGGAGGTTGTAGGTGGGGTATCTGTATGTCAACTTTATCTCTGCTATGCTAGAAATGGTTGACTAGACAGGCAATATGCATTTCAGCGCACCCACACACCGCACAAAGTGCGTGGCTGCGTTGAAATGTAACCATACTACTCCGTATCGGACTCGAGTCTGAACACTATATGCGTTAATAGGGACTGCTAATCGCCCCAGCGACTTCTGTACAGTGTACCTCATTCTATGTCCAACCCGCATCACTGTTCTACTTTGTATTACCTCTATATCAGCATCTCTAACTTCCTCAAGATCGTTTATTCCACAATAACTTGGTAACTGGCTAGATGTTTTTCACTAGTAGTGCAACGACTGATTTTAATAGACGGTTCTCTTCTATGTCTAGCACATAGACCATGGGGCAGGGCTTCCATCACCTCAGCCGCACTTGAACCTATGAAGGGCTGTTGTGAGTTGGAGAGGGGTGTTCTACGTCAATGCCCATATGGGGCGTCAATTGCTTCTATGCGTCTCTTTCTTCATGTGAACTGACGTCTTGGTCGATGTATATCACTTGAACTGTTGGCCCTAGGTTAGACAAGCATCGAGGTATGTATGAGTAGCTGTCTGCATCCGTCGTATTTCTGAGGAATTGTTTTAGATCAAAGAGATGTCCTCATTGAAGTATAGGGATACAGATTCTACACAGGCTAAGCATGTCTGCAAGGATGTCCTCTACTATTCAAGCCAGAGAAGCATTCAGATTATTATCAGTTACCCGTCCAAGCTTTACAATCAACCTTTCAAAAGACTCAAGACAATCATACATGGATACAATCAGTCAAATCCCTGCAACTGCTTCGCATCACCCAGCGCCGGCCACCACGAAGCTCGATCCTTGACAAAGAATTCCGCCTCGGGTTTAGCATCATCCAGAGCGTGAGAATCATCCAGCGTCCCAGCCAGCACAATCACGCCACCCTCAAATTCCTTCCGATCTGCTGTCTTGTACAGCAAACAGCCACAGGTCCCACAGAAGTGGAGAGTCAAATGCATGCCGCTCTCATGAGTCTCATGGTGTTCCTTTGCGGTTCCTTTCACAAGGCGGAAGCGATCCTGGGGGACTAGAAGATTAACAGAACTTCCGCTGCTGAATTTCCGGCAGGTGAGACAGTGGCAGACGGCCTATGTCATGTTAATATGTACTTGTGTGCGGTTGCAAGGTCTGCTTTGGCTTATCTTGGTGATAGGTTCGCCGCTATATTCGTACTGGACTGACTGACAGAGACAAGAACCAGATGGCATGATGAAGATGTTCGTTACTTATTGTAAGGATACTCAGGGTAGAGATGAAATGATGAATAGGGAACATAGTGGCGTGCAAGGCTGATATATAGACTTTTAAAATCTAGCCTGATCAGAAGACTACGTTTGTCTCGACTCTCGAATGCCAATTATGCAAGAGAGTTTAATACTAGTAGGGTCCGAATCCTGGATTGACTTGTAGTCCGCATATATGATTAATCTTCATCTACAGCGGAGCGGAATGCCGAGCCATTGTCGTATGTTTTCCAGCGCCACTTAGCCATTAATGGATCGTATGATCACCAACAATTGTGTCAAAGATCGAAATCTAATAGATCAATCCAGATCTAGCGAATAGAAAATTTATTTACGGATTAAGATTCCTAATAACTTTATTTTCTTCCTGACAGATGGCTTCCCCATAATAAACTCGATGTCTGGCTCGATAAGTAGGACACCCACCAGGTGCACATGGCTGTCTAAATTTAGTCCATACTTTGATAAATTGCAACAGCTTTCAGTTGTAGAATTCAGACTTTCTTTTCTTACTTAATACGGCCAACCGGAGAGGTCTTCAACCACACGGGTCTTTCAAGTCTATATCACTTTTCAGTTTAAGTGCAACTTGACCACTGCCTCTGCCTTTCACGAGCCCATAGCAGAGCTGGCTCATTATTATTATATATTATATTCTATATAACCTCTAAAAAGCATCAACCTAGCACATACGACCACAGGGTGTGGAAAACAGGGCTTCCCGTCCGCTCAGCCGTACTTAAGCCACACGCCGGCCGGTTAGTAGTTGGGTGGGTGACCACCAGCGAATCCCAGCTGTTGTATGTTTTTGATGCTTTTTTTGCTTTATTATTATATCTTGCCTTTAAACCTTGCCTGAAGTCTTTACTCTTCGCCCGGAAAGCCTAGCTGATGTGGTCGTCCGGCGTGCAGACTCCGTCCTTCGGAATGCCGCCATCTCTCATTTTGTCTTATGCCGAGCAGAATAAGATTAGATGCATAAACTTATGTATAATAAGCTTATTGAACTGTAAGCTAAATATTGATATAAGGAATGTTGCCACATTGTACTTTCTTTATCATGCAGCTATCTTCCACAAAGAGACGTCCAAGGACAGATAGTAACCAGAACAGGGAGCTAATTAAACCACTGCTTGACTACGATACTAACAGCAGTACCTCCACTCGTGGTGTCATAGACTTGGTTCTTTTCCATGATAGTAACATGTGTCATTCACTCTACTAGGCAGCCACAGACCAAAATACTCATGAATGCAGGCTCCCTGGTGATGAGGTCAGCTGCCAGCTCATTGAAATATTCAGGCTGCTCCTTGTACTCTCAAATGCTTCTATCCATAAATATACTCGGTATCTCTCTTGGATCAAACGTTTCGAGGCTGGCGATGTTGTCGTGCTGCATGCACAGGTAAGATTTGCCCACTACGACTGTACTACACTTTCTGACAGCTTGGTTGCTAGGTCGTTGCATATTATCCTAGTCTTTAAGCCGGCATTTTGTTTGGTATAATGCCATCATATCTGGCAAGCTTGTTACTTGGTCTCTGATCAGCGCTCTACAAACAGGCAACTTTGGCATTAGACATTAGGGTTTAGGTTTAGCATGTTGTCTGGGTGCAGCGGGGAAGGTGGATCAGTGGGTCCACTAATGCATGCTTGTCACTCAATAAGGTTGGTAAGCGGAGTAGAACCATAACCATGGGAACCAATCAACAAAGCTCAAGCCCAGCAAGCTATTTATCAAACATTGGCGGGTGAGATAACAAATAAGTACAGCGAAATTGTTGCTGAGGACTACCTACTCATAATAGTCTAGAAAGCTTGAAGCTATTTCAAGGCTGTGTGTCAGGTCAATCTGACAGAAATCATCCAACAATCAAGCAGGAGATACATGAGATCAAACGAAATATATAAGAATGAATACCCTGTAAAAATGTATAGTGTCTCTCTTATCCCATGGGCCTGAAAAGGTCTTTTGACAGATGACAGTCCACAAATTCTCCTGCTAAATATCGGTGAACCCTCCTGAGAAGCTGGATAAAAAAATGGCAAAGATAGAAAAAGTTACCGTAGCCTCAATGAGTAGTTATCCGCATTCCTAATTGCATCTCTTTCCTTCAGAGCGCGGGCCGTGGAAGGCCTATAGGCATTATCAATATCTATGATCTTTTCTCCCAGCTTGTGTTGATATTAATAAAGGGATGGGAAATAGTATAGTGTATATATCCTTTAGAGTGAAACCCACACTGCCTTTCTAATTGTATCAGCATGCCTGCAGTATATGTTAATGATTAGTTACACAGTAAATAGCTTACATGTAAGCACCACTAAAAAGAATGACTTATATAAACTCAAGTAATAGAGTGGCGCCCATCACAGCCATTTTAGGCCCAGCTGTATTCCGTAGACTCTCACAGGTAACATCTTTAATAAGTGGCTTGTTGTAAGCGCGGTTACATAAGTGGATGTAGTATTGCCGTTCAAATCTACACAGAGGTATGCTTCCAAGAAAATATCACCAGCGCAAGTATTGTTAGTATTAATAGCTGTGATGTACAGATCTCCTAGTTCATCTGAACCTCTTAAAGGATCAGCTCTGAGTGCTTTCTGGAAAATGCTTAGGACCTTGCTCTATTACCTTTATTAAGCTATTGCTGGAATATGTCACCATGAAGACAGTTGATAACATAGTCCATCAGCTGAGAGTGTCCCGGAAGGCCTGTCGAATCTCAAGACCTTTCCTCCGGTCATCAGGGTTATTGTTTTCAAAGTTGACAAGCCTTGGCAGTGAACGTCTACTGATCTGGCTTCGGGCCTCCTGCTCAAAATCATCAAACGCAATGACATCCCCAGACCAAATCAGTATATCTCGGTGTACTCCAGAGGAACAACCGTTGCGCCGGGGGAGGTATACTAGTATGATCCATTCTGGATGCCACCGAGCACGAGAGCATTGATGCTCTCCGCCTCCTCCTGGAAGAATATGCCGCCCTCCCAACGCAAACCACGGCGCTCGACCAGCGGGGATTCATGAGGGGCGCTTGTTCTCAGCACGCTACACTATTCCTCCCATAATATGCCTGACACTTTTCAATAGTGTATCCCATGCTTCTAGCACATACGACCACAGGGTGTGGAAAACAGGGCTTCCCGTCCGCTCAGCCGTACTTAAGCCACACGCCGGCCGGTTAGTAGTTGGGTGGGTGACCACCAGCGAATCCCGGCTGTTGTATGTTTTTTGCTCTTTTCTTTATTCTTTTTCCTGTCTTTAAACTGGCTTTAAACTAGTTTAACGCCGTGCTGCTACTCGATCTTCACCTGGACAACCTAACAATCTCCGCTGCTGCAGGCGGCTCAGCAGGAGACGAATGGCACGAAACCCCTGCAACTGAAGCATACGTGACTGAGTGGGCCTATCTCAAGATATACTATTTGTGGATTGTTGACCTATAGCTAGCTTTAGCTTGAATAGCTGGCTATACTATGCATAGTTCTGTTTAGCGATGTGGACTAGAAGGCGTCCAAAATACCAAACTAGCCACCAGAAGACTAGTGTTATGGCACGCAACCAGACGCTTGAAGCGTACGGATCGATGTAGCCTGGAAATGACAAGAAGTGCGAAGAGAGTATAACATATTCTGCGAGGGATATTCATTTTTAGAACAGTTAATGGTCTCTAAGTTCTGATCAGATGGGCTGTAAACCCAAGAGTTTCACCATGCTGTGTAAGATATGCGAGAGGCAGAAATGCAGTGGCCATACTCTATCCTTGCTATTAAATCCTGGATTAGTGCCCTAAATTCGGGTACTTTGATTGAATGGACTGATAAGGATTTTGCAGTTGGAAGAGCTCCTGACAATAGCTTGAATCTGATTAGCAGCCGCACAATACATGCTTACACCCTGTTCATGCAGCTGAGAGCAGACATAACGACGCATATAAACATGAGCCCCCTCAGATTTAGCAGTTTATTTTGGTATCTTTAGAGCCAACATACCTACATTGACACTGTTCCCCCTTTTGCTCCTGAAAATTTTTTGAACAGTGAGTGTTTGAGATTTAGTTTAACAAAATGCTGCTGCTGACTGCTATGGCATTACTAGCTTATTTAATGTTTGAAGATCCGGATGCAGACGACGGCATAGATAGCTATAGGTGGATGCACTACTAGCTTATGTGTGGTAAGGAGCTCATGAACCTCCGTCTTAATAGGTCAGGAGCAGGACCGTATCATCACGTGGTTTTGCAAGCACACACCCGTGATCGCTTGGCATGGAAACACATGGAGGGGAACCTGTGACACCACGCTAGAAACGCATCCATTCTCATCGTCGTTGACCCTGAACACCTCACGACTCCCGAAAAGTGGAGACACCTTCATGATTACACACTTATCGACAGCGGATTGAAATATTCTTTGGATTGCAAGGCAGACGCCCTCTCCCGTTTCGCAGAAGTACGATAAATTGCTGGGATTGTTGGGTCTCAATGGAGAATCTTCCTGAGGTGGGAACGAGCAACGTCACAGAGATGTGAAACATCACTGACAAATGCAGGAGATCATCTCTACAATATTCCAGATAGTTGACTTCAAAGCTCTCAAGCAATGTCATCTTGTCTGCAGGAAATGATGTCGAATTGCTACTCCGTTCTTATTCCGTCGCAGTGCCTACCACAAAGAAAATTCAACCTATTTCAATGAAATTCTTGCCTGGCGCGACCTGTCCGTATTCATCAGAGTGATATCAATCGGGCGAGCAGGGCCTGGCGATACGGTGGCCGATCTGCTTCGTTTGATTTCCTCCCAACCAATACTGCGGCAATTGGTAGTACGACCAACGGTTGGCGTTATTCGTCAACACCACCAAAAGGAGTTTGTAACCACACTCACTAGTGTAGTCTCTCAGGATACTCCGTCAGTTCTTCCGGCTCTTGAAAAGATTCAGCTTATTACCAATGAGGAGCCATATCTGCCGACGCTGCTCTTCAACAACCTTCGAAAACTTCAAGTTGACATGGAGACTATTCGATTACCGATTGATCTTGAATGGCCTTCCTTGGTATTTCTCCACTTAAGGGGGGTTGTAGATATTGACTATCTGCAAGATTTCCTCGGACGTCATAAACATATCAAGCAATTAAATATAGCGGCTGTGAGCATGCTTAGACTGCTTGGTCCTTCACTGGGCGATCTCCACCAACCCTTAAAAAACATTCTAAATCCCGGAGTGGGTCCAGACCTGGCTGGATCGATCATGGAACATGCTGAGAAGAAAGCTGACGGCCACGAACGATCATTGTTACGAGAGGTTCACGCTCAGCTGGATAGATTGACGGATGAAAAGACAGCCAGAGAGATGCATCAATTGATCGTCACTGTTTTCAAGACATTGTTGAGGTATGAGCTTGACAGATACGCTACTGATATAGGGAAGATTCGGATACCACTTGAAAACCCCTCTCAATTTGAATTAAGCTGCTCGATAGAATATTTTTGGGAAGACGAGCTAGCTATCAAGGGTATAACGTTACCGGGGGACTATGCATCAAAGACTGGGCTATGGGCAAACGATGAGATCAAGGAAAACCTCGGAAATCATCTTGTATTACGAATTGGTTCAACCTAGGAGAATGGTAGCCTAGCTTGTTCGGATTGCGTGAAACTTTTCTCAGTTGTAGTTCATAAGTGAAAGTCCCAGCCAAAGACCTAGGGCATTATCCCAACCAAACACAGCCAATTTATTTACCCAGCCGTCAAATCGCAATTTCATTAAACAGTATCACACGGAGTGGCAGACCCATCCGCTTCCACCCTGACCGATTCGAAGTCTCGAAGAATCTGCACTGTATGTCAGTGTCAATAGGCCACGCATGAAGGCTGCGAGAAGACGACGCAGACCGACAGGCGCACGAATTCTGCCCGACGCTTCAGTGATTTCCACGTAGCCGCACTCGGACTTGAGTCGAAATCTCCACCTCCTCTACTGATACAGAAGGAGCGCCTTCCTAAATGCAAACCATGGCCAGTCCTCGAAGCAGCGAATTTGGTAATATGCTCAATACTGTCAGGCACGCCGTCTGGCCATGCGACTACAAGCTGCCTTGAGACAAAGTGGTTTACATCGCTCTGCAAACGAGAGTACTACAGTGACGAGCAAACCCAGTTTCACCACCCCGCACACTCATGCTTACATGGTGAAACTGGTTTTGCTCGTCCCTGTACACAGGAACACAATCCGATCCGGGGGTGGGGTGGGTGGGGAAAAGAAGTTGATGTTCCGACTAACCCTGACATCAAATGGACTTAGAGAATTACAGGAAAGCTAACTCATGTAATCACAACCGACTGTGTCTATTGGCCTGGAGTAAGAGTAGGCTCATGGCAGATCACAGCCACTGGATCTACATACAAAGTCTATCAGAACATTCTAGTCTTTCTCAAGACCCAACGCCGCTTGGCGCCCTTCTCTTTCGCGCCGTTCTTCCTCAGGTAGACTTCAGTCGCTTTTGCTTTGTCCGTAGGTGGACTCGCATGAATTAACCACGATAAAGGGGTGAAATACATATCATCCACGGAATTGATCTTCGCTCCGTATTCCAAAAGAATCTTCACAGAATCTAAGGCACCATATTCGGCAGCCCAGGAAAGGGGTGTACGCTTGTTCTGGTCGCGAACGTCTTTGGCAGCACCAGTTCTTAGGAGACAACGAAGAAGTTCGGGGCAATCTCCCATGGCGGCGTAGTGGATGAGAGACCTCTTGCAGGGGCCTTGGGGATTTGAAGCGCCCTTTGACTCCATCGAGGAATGCGCATCGTTTAGGAAAGCCTTGATATCGTCGCTTAGCCTAATCTCCGCGATATTTTCCATGCGTCCGAATTCGCCATCGATAACGGTTTTGGAGTTGCGGGGGATGCTCATTGCGATAGTTCCCATAGCGAACGCTGGAAATGTATCCGCACAAATATATAACCGCAGGAGTATGCTCAAAATCATGAAAGCGGGAAGGGATCTTAAAACTAGCAGATACTCCTGGCGAGTACAGCATGTAGACAGTTCATGAGACCCTCTTGATTAGGGCCGAGATGAATTTCTGTGGGCATGGAAGGCAATTTAATGTTACTACGTATACACATTGTTCGATATTTTTGACGAGTTAGTGGAAAATGCACATGCCTGTGATACTAGATCAATCTGTGAAACACCTGTGAATCACGTTCGCGGATCTTTTGGCAGGGAATGGAGATGTTCCAAGATCGGTAGTGAACAGACAGAGGGTCGAAGCCGAAGCGGGTCGATGGGTACTCGGGCCGTCTTAGACCCAGCTGCCACGCCAGTTTTGGGTCCCCACACGACTCAAAAGCGGCGCGGCACGTCCAGCCTTAGATAAGAACAGGCGCGATGTACGGGTCTAATCGTGCTGTCAAGAACAACTATCGATTTCTTGTCAAAGTGAAGTCAGGAATAATTCCTCGAATCTTAGTGATATTGTGAAAATGGTAGTGACTCCTAAGCTGAGATCTCTAATCGAATTGCCAGTTCGAGGAGTCTCACGGCATATGACACTACCCGAAACTCTAGACATTCAGTCAAATTTCGTGAAGTCTGGGTCCCCTTACGACCAGCTGAACCGCTTCTTCATCAGCCTATCACCGACTTGGGGACCCGTCAGCGCTATCGAGTTTTCTGAAGGCTCTCACTTAGCTTATGTCTACCAAGAACGGATTGAAGAAAGGGACCTACGGGTTGAGGACTTCAAAGAAACATCTCATCCGAATCTGGTTAACTTGAAAGAGGTATTCATTGCAAAACAGAACGTCTTCTTTCTTTACAATACCTGGGGTATCTCGCTAGAGGAGATTCAACAATCATCATCCAAGTTTTGCTTGGGCGAGGTGGAGATTGCAACAATCTCAAAAGGGGTATAAAAACTTCAGAATGTCCTCCCAGAGATGAACTATGCTGATATCCCTAGATCCTGCAAGCTTTGAAGTACGTGCATGAAGTACTTGGGATCTGCCATGGGAATGTCACACTTTCCACAGTCCTAATCAACCAAGAGGGAATAGTCAAACTGGGTCAGTGCCATCCGAAAGGTATATATTGAAAATGACCTGGTTATTGACAGATTCCATAGCCGACGTCGGAAGCAGCCTGATTAGGGAACCAAGGAGACAGCAGAAGAGCAAGGACCTTCAGGCTGTTTGCTCGATAGCTTGCTCACTCTTGAGACTGGATGAGACATCTGCAATTCATGGAACAATGGGACTGCTCGCAGAGGACTTCACTGGGTCCTCTGGGAGAGCAACCGCAGCGGATCTTCTAAAGGTGAGTGGAACTCCAAACGTACCACTGGCACTCTGGCAGCCAACTTATCAAGATTAGCATCCTTTTCTACGCATTAGCCTGGGACCGTGGTGTCTGCGTCCAGTAAGTGTCCTCTGCGGGATCGCTCGATAACGAGTCCTAGGATCATACTGGCCCACGGCAGGATGAAGGCATAAGAATATTTGGGGGAAATTTCAGTACATTATCTTTGGGTCACAGACTTTTGGAATTTGTTTAATACACCCTTGACCATGCTATGTGTACTCTGTAAAGCATGATGGACCGAGTCAATAGAGTAAATAGATCTGTCGAAGGGAACGAATTCAGACAATTACAATATCTATATTAATGATATCGTACCTGTAGCAAAGTATTACTGGCCACCTTGGTGAAACACGAACAATAAAGAAGGCTGCACGCCTATTTTGGAGTCATGACTATCCTCCCTATCCAGCGACATATAAGAAGATCCAATACTGCATACAGGTTCTACCACTATTGCTCATTACATGCGAGTATGGGTCAAACACAGCCATTTGAAGATCTTGAACCCAATCTGCCCGAGGCTGAAAGTGCTTCAGTCATTGAGACTCGGTATGTGCGCATGCTCCTCGAGCTTGACTATATTCCATGGTTCTATAACACGTCCGCTAGCACTGCCCACTGGGTACTGCTTGCTAGATATCTGGTTATTCTGGGAACATTTACTTCTCTTCAGAAGTCCGACTTTCTCACAGAAGGTCTGGAAACGAACCGCGCTGGAAAAGCCATCCTCAGTACAATCCAGAATCCGCCCCTCCTTGCTATCGCTTGCTTTCTGATGGTTCTGGGCTCAGTAATGATTTCTTGGCTCAGCTAGGAGCGGAGGGAGAATTACATATGGCTCATAAACCGGTTGTTTATGTCCGTATTAGTATCTTTTGTAACTTCAGATGCTGATCATTTGATAGACTAGTTCTTCTGAATGCAATAGCTAGGTTACTCACTACTTTCGTCAATGTGTATACAGCGCAAAATAGCGAATGGTCCATCATGGCTGTTGTGACAGTTATCATCACTGGGATATCTACAGCAGTCGCCTTGGGCTTGACTATAATATATAAGTTTGGAAAGCTAGAGAGGGTGAAGAGAGAACATGAGATGGATATAAAGGCTGGCTTCCATGTGGTTTCATACAGGGCCAGCAATCCATCCACTGGCGAAGTGGGACTTGGTAGCTAGAGAAAATCAGTCGCTAGTTTCATATCTCGACTTACCAAGGTATCATCAGCTGGACTTTACAGCACAACGTGCTAAGGTTGATGGCAGTGGCCATTGAAGGATAAACTGGACCTGTCATTTATGAGCAGTTGCTTCGCGGCGAATTTTAATTCTAAAGCAAAGCCCTGTATTGGGTAACGCAACTACCCAAGTATCAAGCAAGTGTCTTCCAAATCTTTCAATCCCTTTGCCCCACGGAAAGCCACAGGATCCCAGAGCTGACCACCCTGGCCTGATACCAGAAGGATAACATAGTAGGTGAACTCAACTGTGACTTGTGAAACTGGAATATTACATCTAGCCAGTCTTAAAATATTAGTCTACTTTCAGGGTTCCTTTCAAAGAAGTCCTCTAGGATTAGTAGTGCTCAGATAACGGACGGCGCCGGAACTTGCGCGGGGTCGCTCAGCATCAGGACACAGCCTGGCAAAGAGTATCTATCAAAGCTTCAAAAGGACGGTCCAATCTTCTAAGATCGTAGACCTAGACCATAAAGGCAATTTTCTCCTCGCGCTGCGGAATAGGAGCAACCTAGGAAAGGTAACTCTTATGCCTCTCCAGTATTGTGCATACGGACATTGTGACCATTTATATAGATGACGGTGATTTAACATTTTTTGCTCATTCGGAGCTCTTCGGGCTCTTCCGCTGGCCATCAGGCAGTCTATCAAGGCGTCTAAAAGTAAAGAGAAGAATACGTTTGTGCTTCTGGGTTGGATGGGCGAGCTCACCTTTGAGCTCTTGCCGTGAGTTTGTATACGCGCGCGATTATTTTGTGCCTGAACCATTTCTGGCAACGGCGCCACTGGCTATGCGGAAGCGACAACATCAGGAACAGCTATGTGGCCATATTCAGGCATTCTCACCGCACAGAACTAACCTCCTGGTTCGGTGCAACAATTTCCGCCCTTCTCACCCGCCACCCGAACTCGACGTTTCCAGCGATGATACTCTACCCAACATACACCTGGATGAAGTTCGCAACGAAGTATTCCTTAGTCACGCTCGCCTCTATACGATTAGCTCTAAAATCAGGCTGGGTATCCTTATGTGCAGCGGCCATCAGACGTTTAACAATTGCATTGGCATGCTTTACTCGTTCTGAAGAGCGCATCCACAGCATTATGGACCTCATGACAATGCGCGGTTATACTCTAAAGAATCTTTCTCCAGAGAGGCCAGCCAGACCACATATTTGGTCACCAAGCAGAGATAGAGAAACTCGCGGACTCGCTGGCCTCGAACGATAAACCACCGCACGGCTTCTGCGCTTCTTCGGGTTCCACACACAGCCCCCAGATATTTTGCTGACTTGGTGTCATCGTCTCATTGAATTGGAAAGGCAAGCAGAGCTCATGGTGGAAGCACTAGTATTCTTGCAAAAGTGGCTACGATGGGGGCGCTATGCTCTCAATTAATCAACTGACGAAGATTATCGTCGAGAGCTAGAAGCTCAGTTGATGGAAACTAAAACACATCACGAGAGTTTCGAGTCCTTTTCAGTGCCATGTCGGTGCAAAATTTCCCATCATTTAGCACATATTCCTAGTGGTCTTTGCCGCAGAGCATTCCTCAGCTGGAGAGAGGTGTTCAATTGGCATACGTGTAGGTGGCTGAGGCAGGAGTGCATGGATCGAGGAGGCTGCTACTCAAGAAGCTGTGGCTGCTGCGACCGTAAAAGGGGGAACGCGTCCGGAGCCGCCGGACGAGTCAGCTACGATCGATTCAGCAACGTCGGCGACGGCCCACATGGGATCATTAGAACGCATTACTTCTGATGAAACCTCCGACAAGGGAGCGCATGGCACTCCAAATCTTGACTCAGGCGTGCTGCAACCTACGCATGGCTCGGCAAACCACGAAGAAGCCGACACGAACAGCCAATGCACAAGGATTTCCGTTGGATCAGAACCTCCCGAGCGGATGTCAGAGGAGAGATCAATTATAGATGGCCCGCATCAAGGCGCTGCTCAAGACCGGACGCGGGACAGTCCACAGCCTGAGTCCTCGAAATCAGATCTTGGCACTGGCAGGCAACAAGAGGTCTCGGATGCGTACCTTGAGCAGCTGATGAGAGCCCAGGAAGAGCAAGAGAGGCTGGAAGAAGAGTTAGAACGCGAACGACTTGCGGAGGAGCTTGGCCTTTCTAACCAGGAGCAGCCTGTTCCGGAAGCTTCGCCTGGATCTCAAGTAAGGCAGGATTCACCATCGAGCCCGTCTCACCGCGAAGGGCAAATGCCGCCCCAAGTGGACAGTCTTGTAGCATCCACTCCCAGAGGAACTGCCAGCGACCCCGACAGTCAGAGCCCTCGAGCAGTTGAGGACGGGGCCACGCAACCGGCGGGGGCGTTGCGCCACCAGAACGGGTTGAAATTTCCTTCTGGGCCTTTGAACGAGAACAGTGGAGGAGGACTGATCGTTTTGAAGTAGATCCTTCGGATCCAGCGCCGCTGGAACGAGCGGCGCTGAAATATATGTGGAAGGAATTTTCACTATATGATCGGAACCTGCAAAGCCTCAGGCCCGACCAGTGTTATCGCGCGGCGACTGTGGATGGCAATAACGCAATATTCCTGATCTCGGAGGATGAAGAGAAGCGGCTTGCGGCAGAAGGGCGACTCGACAAGGACAGGCAGCTTGTGAAGATGGCCTCCCGTGTACGAGATCGGACAGAATCCGAGCCAGGGTCTCCTACCAAGCGCTACCGTTCTGTGGCATTCAAAGAAACATAAATTCCTTTCTGGGTATGATATACGAATATATGGCTCAGCTTAAGAGACTTGCACAAACGTGAGTTATAGCGCCATGAGCGAGACCTCGCAGAGCAGTTGTCCACCAAAGAGGCATTTCTTATATTGATTTACGGAATATCTAGACCTTTTTATGTGGTATGCCACATGAAGTCATTCATGATTAGATGCTTATGGTTATGTCTTTTTATGAAGGGGTCTGACATGGGGAGATTGGCTCAGAAGGCATGCAACAAGAGGAATCCCCTCTTGTGAGGATCCTCTTGAGAGGAAATCAGGCACATGAGGACCCCAATGAGAGAGAAAGCCAGACAGGAGGTATCCCATTATGTGAAATGGCTCATCGGGGTGAATACGTTCTAGAACAGCTGTCTCATGGCCAATCTGGCAATGAGAAATGTGCATATAATTCTATTGGCCTATTTTTGCTGGGCGCTCCACGGTGATTGTGGCTGCGGAAATGCATCACAGGCACATATGCCCGTTTCGTAGACCGCTGTAGCACTGCAGCGCTTAGCGTTCTTCAGCTTCCGCAGCCACATCTCTGAGAATGTGGGCCAGCCGCTGCGGAAGGTTGATTACTGAGTTGGTTCCACACAAGTCCCGCAGCACAGTGCCCTCCCTGCTGACATGCCAGCCTTTCGCCTCACTATATATGGCTATTTTACCCTTCATGCGAACGAACAAACTCGTACTACGAGAAACCATTCGCAATTCCTAAGATTGGTAACATGGAATCTCACTATGCACAGTGCGCTCAGGCCGACCGCGACCTTCAGCGTGCCATATACGACCAGGACCTAAGGTTAACTCTATTGCACAGGTTTGACCAGATCGAAAACCTGTTAAATACAGTGAATAATGTAGGCATCTGAATTCAAAACTTGGCTAAATCTATTTACACTAACCGGCACAGGAATTCAGCTTTGCAAAGCGGAAATCGGACAGTTGGGAGACTCTACAGAGACCACGACTCCTCCAGATACTTCAGCGAGTGCTAGTTCATCTTTCCAGACCGCTCAATCACATCTTATACCGAGTGACGAGGGCGCAGCTGCTCTACGTGCCCCGCCAAGGCTACCCTTCCTACAACTGCCGTGGGTTCGATCGGAAAGGGCGACGTCGCGGCCGAGAAGGCCAAGGCAAAAGCCTCACTGGACAAAGTTGCCCAGAATCATGGGATGCAAGTACGGCGTCTCTCGCATACAAAAACTTCTCGCGGCGTGTGCCTCTGGATGCCGTACTGACTGGCTCATGACTGCCCGCCTCTTCTTTGCCGTAGCCAGTCCGTTTGCTATGGCTCAACTTCAAGAACTTCTAACTGCAATGCGACGAAATGAAAATGCTCTCCCTTTTCCAGAAGTTGGCTCCATTAATGATGTTATGCATGCCCTTGACAGGTCAGATGGGTCTGGGTTAATTGCTTGTATTCGATCTAGGCTTCATCAAGTGGACCTTGTTGAGTTATATAGTAGGAAAAGGCTGGATTATCAGCGAGGCAGTAGTCGAGCATTCGCGGATTCCGAGACTACGTCAGATATTATAGCCGAGAGATTCCCGCTGTTAGAACGAGGCAGCTCAGAGTTCAAGCGTCAATACGAGATCCTTCGACGCAGATTGTACGACGGCAGGAACTGGCACAGGATTGCTCAAAAGTTTGGTAGTGCTATTATCTACTTAGTCCCATCCGGAGGGGAATTTGACATTTCTAACTCAGCGCATGTAATCGCCCTCCTCAGTATCAGTACCAAGCTGACGTTAACTAGAGTTTAAAGGATATCGACGCACCACTTTGACAATTTCCTAGAAGTGCTTCGTGAAAAGCGAGGTGACTTCTTACAAAATTGTGTCCAATATCTGGACAGAAAGTTAAGAGATCTTTCACGTTTACGTCAGTGCAGTCTGCTGCGACTGGAATCAACAATCCCAAGTGAAATTAAAGGGAAAAAAATTCGATTCGAACGAACTGCTCTCACTCCTCCATCCTCTTTGAGCTCTCTCTGGAGGTGGCAGGTACTAACACTGGACGAACGAGAACGTGACTCAGTCTATGGCCTTTTATCTACATGCAAACTAATTGCCTAACCTAAATTCTGAGGTTGAATTGAAACTGATCTGGAGTGCTCCATCTGCATTTCATAGTTCGGGGGGTTTTTTGTCTTTCGCTGGTAGTCTGTCGACGTATGGTATGATCACTCGTGATCCATGTTCATGAACGAATGGAGCGCCACAGCTAGTTGTGGCGTTGCTGCGGAAATGCTTGGCAGGCACCTCATGCCACTGTTTTATGAACTGCGGTAGGAATGTGGAACTAAGCTTTCTTCGGTTTCTCCAGCCACGTCCCACTCAAATAGTGGCCAGCCCTGAGGTCCCTCAATGCCTCAGCGTACCAAACCCGTTTCCGCATCGACCCACTTCTTCGATTGTGGCGTTCCATGGCCAAGGTCTCTTTTGAAAGCTACCTGATCGTTTGTCTCCAGCCTACAAATGTCAACACGATTGCATCTCAGAATCAACAGTACCGTTTCTTCAGCATCAACAGAAACATCAACCTCGAAACCTGGAATGCTACGGTTGTTACCAAAACTTCAAGTCATTTTCCGGAATGTTAATCCATCTGGAGTCTGGAAGTTGCGCGTCGGATACTACCGAGGAGGACATTGATGATATAGCCCATGATTGTTACCAGAGCCGGAAGTATATAAATGATGATCTCGAGCACGGAGGGTGGCTCTACAGATGCCCCAGCTGCGAAATGAAGTTCCCAAAGCTTTCTGCACTTTACCAACATGCAGAGGATGTCCCACCATGCTCTTCTCCTCTAAATGGACAAGGTTGTCTGGCTAAGCTGGAACGATTTGTTGCTCGCAGGTTACAGTAGCTTTACGACTTCCTCTTGAGTTATTTTCTTTATGATGTTAGACAAGAAGGTCTTTCGGTTGCTGTCAAACCTGCGAACAGACTCCATGTTCAGCAGGGTGCTGTCACGAACGGTTATCAGGTGCCGGATATTAAGTTTGTTACTGTTACTTGTAATGACAAGCCGCCGAGTGTTGAATGAATGGGAGCAGGTAAATGACCTGCTATTCCAGGGGAGTCCGCTATGGACTGAGCTGAAATTATCCTAAAGCGCGTGCTGTAACATGAGCTATGATCAAACAGAAGGCAGGATGTCAAGATATAAGGGTTATGATAGCAGGTCCCCGAAAATGGAGCTGTTATTGCCTAATCGCACGTATTGTAGAATTATGTTCATTCATAGTAGGCAGACAAGGCATTAATAAGGACATTTAAGCATGTTATCGTTCGGCTCAGATATTGTACGTATGACTAATGCATACTTTACGAAGCCACATGATCAGACTGACAAGTCTCGTGTGAAGGCATTTTCTTTTCATGACGGGCCGCACCCAATTTTCTTCCTCCTCCTCTTCCTCCTCCTCTTCCTCCTCCTCCTCCTCATCTCCTTCCTACGTCTATTTAAATTCGTTTCTGCTCTCTCTTTATAGCCACCGACCCTCAATCTCTGAAGCAGCATCTCAAAGGACGTTTTCTTCCGCTTGGGCTCTACTTACTACCAAACATGTCTACCCTTCAAAATCAGAACACCAAGTCTCAAGCAGTCAAGATAGAAAGTGCTCAGACAGGACCGGCAAAACGGGAAGTCTCAAACGGTACATCTCCTATCCATCCCTGCCCCGGTCCAAATCACAAGCTAATACGTAATAGGAGGCAAATACAACGCTACACCACGTGCGTCCAATGACATTGTCGGAAATGACAGTCACTCCAATCCCAATGCCCCCGAGCAAGCAGATGCCCATGATAACTGCGATGCTGATTGGGAGGTAGTCAGCAGCGCCCAGTGCGGCGAAAAAGACAGCAATCAAGCGTTCCATGGGCATACAGGACATTTTAGCGTTGATGTGGGTTGGGGTAAACGGAAACATCGGCTGTATTCCAGTGATTGGAGCTTTGGCCATCATCATCACCAACATCATGATGATAGACATGGCGAGAGAGGTACTCAGTGACACCGTGTGCATTCCGCCTATCACATCTCCTGGGTTAGCGCCGACGATACCCTTCGTCCAAAAGGGTGACTATAGAAACTGGACGGTTTCTTAGACCACACGACAAACCGTGAGAGTTCTTTCCCCGGCTACTTGCCCTGGAAAAGCATTTTACGGTTTTTTTGGCAAGCGTGATTTCCAGGGCTGTGTACATAATAATAAAACAATTGATTCTTAATCATAGTCTATCACCCACCGGATTCTGAGAGCTATCTTCCCAGTTCTCTTCATTTTTATAATGATAAAAATTGTAGCAAATTATCGACTCAGTCTGGGTCTGACAGGAAATTTCTTAGACAAAAAAGAGGCCGACGAAGATTGAATTTGGAGAAAAAACTGCATCAATACAGCAAGCTGTGCGAGGCGGATGTTTGCTTAGGTATTCGTATTCGGGACATGGGGCGCGTCTTTACATTCTCAGCGGACAGATCAGGATTCTGGGCTTTCTTATCCTCTAAACTTGTACGTTACAAACAGACTCAGGATGATCATTATGCTAAGATTGGCAGAGCTCTTACTATCCTAAGCCAATCCAAAAATTCGGAGAGGACCTTGGGAATGGAGGATGATTCGATGCTGCTCGCGAGGGAAAGATTGTTTCCGATCTTCGAGACGGATATTTCAAAGAATACGGCAAGTAGAAAATGAGGGGAGAGAAAAAACTCCACTTTGGGGGAGGGGAGAATTTCTTTACATATGCAGGGAACTTCCCTGAAAGGAGGTGAACTTCTAAGAGGGCAAAGCGAACCTCGCATGAGACAAGGCGAGCTTCACATGGGGCAAGGCGAACTTCGCATGAGAGAAGGCGAGCTTCGTATGGGGCAAGGGAAGTCCCCTCGTTGCCAATGAATGGCAATAAGCTATCTACTTGTCTTAGCGCTTACGGCCAAGCAAAGATTGCTGCTCACCACCCAATGGGAATAGCTCTATGGGCCAGGTTAGAAGATGTGGACTGGACGCTTGCATGCAAACCCGTCTAGCTGCCTGGATGACATGTTTGGGAATAGCTATGCCAATCAACTGCCTCCCACGTCACCCTGTTGTCGACCTGCAGGGGGTTGTTCTAGAACGGTGAACTACGTCGATTGACGGAAAAATATGGATACAGGATGTATCTATGTTTTTAGTGGCTTTGGTTGCTGAGATAGCCAACCTGACAGAGTTCCCAACTAGTTTCGTTGCACCTATTTTGCCTAAGCTATCTCACTACAAAGGTGTACTCACCTTCAACCCACATTCCGGATACTGACGCAAAGGTCGAAGACGACAAGCTCAAGTCCAATGACGTGTATAATTAGGACCTATACAGTAGTGGAGCATACCACGCGTATATCTGTGGCGTGGATGTTGTCAACGACATTGAGGGTTGATGTTTGAAGGTGAAGTGATTGCTCTTGATGCCTTGCTGGATTGATGTTGATCTATACTTGTTTGGCAGCTATGATAGAAGATAATGCTACTGAATACTTGTTTTGGCCTTGACTGTATTGAGTCATTAGATCAGTACGTTCTTGTCCTTTTTGAACCGAATCCATGTTCTTCTCGGACACCCCTTTTCTTGTGGTTCCATGCACCATCTGGTCATATTTTCTCAACCATCCTCTACTATCATCACCGCCACCATTACGATTGGGTGTCAACACACCCTTTTAGCTGAGTGGATTATGGTTGACAGATTGAATGCATGTCGCTTTGGAGCCTTCGATCCGCCAATAAACCATGAGACAGAGAATACGAGATCCTCTTTGCGCTAGCGCTTCCTGCAAAGTGAGAAAATTCATCTGCCAGTTCTTCTAATAAAATACCTATTCTACATTCATCCAAGTATCCATATGTCCGTCCTCCCACCGGAGATCCTCCATCATATTCTTGGCCTCACGACTCCCAGCTGGCGATGGGGCTGGCTCTGGAAAGATAGGAGGGAGCGGATGTTCGACCGCTCAGATTTATTTTGGTTTTTGAACTTACGCCTCGTCAATAGTACGTCCCTTAGTCCCTAATAAGCGACCCAAGAGGACGTGTTAACCCTACAGAGCAATTCGACGATATCGTGATCCACCATTTCCTCGCAGCAATTAGAGCCGGACTCATCTGTAGCGACCTTCCCATTCGCCGCGGGCCGCCGACCTACTCGACGATGGCAATGGGAAGACGAATACTGTGGTCAGCTGGGTGTCGAAATCGTGGCCTTCAAGGGTTAGCGACGAGAAGTGTCCACCCACTTATCAACACTATCAATGCGGGGGTGGATGAGGTCGTTGAGCTTTTCTCGCGGAGGAGCCAAATGCAACCCGAGGTTCTCCAAACGACCTATGTAAAGGGAATGATATCGATGTTTGTCGGACTGACGGGGATTAATTTGATCGATCACCTTCAGGCTCAGAGAGGGGATGGAAGAGGGACTGCAATTCTAGATGGCCTGGACCCCGAGAGAGAGGGGGGAAAGAGAGCCGCGTTGATGGCGGCTGCATATTTGGGCAGAATCGATGATATGGAGGCACTGCTTGTGTGGTGTATACAAAATACTGCCGATTTGGATAAATGGCTCCATTTGCCGCTTATGGCGGCTGCTTTCGGCAGACAGGTGGACATCATACGGTTTCTGCTCAATAGGGGAGTTGACGGGAATGCGCGGACTGTCGAAAATGGGGATACTGCGATGCATTTTGCTGCCTTGGCAGGTCATGTAGCCCTTGTCGAGTATCTTCTAGGGATTGGGGTGGAGGCTGATGTGGTGAACAATGCTGGGCACACGCCGCTTCATTGGACTGCCGGGAGAGGACACGCGGGTGTTGTGAGGATGCTCTTGATGACGGAAGAGGTGGACGTCAATTTACAGGATCGTCTGGGGAGAGCGCCACTAATCTGGGCCGCGGCAAGAGGGTTTGACAATGTGGTGAAGGAGCTGTTACAGAGGGAAGAAATCGACGTCGATCTCGCGGACGGGGACGCAGAAGTTACTGAGGTGACTCCATTAGCCGTGGCTGCGGTGATGGGCAAGGAAGACTCTTCTACAGCCTCTTCCATCATCCGAAGGTTGACAGAGAGGGATACACGGTCTTTCGACGAGCACTGATTGGCGGAAAGGTCAGCATTGTGAGGACGATAATCGAGGCAATTCCCAACACTCTGGAAGACTATGAGTACGCCGAGCATGAGACAGCTTTGCTCCGTGCCGCTGAAGAAGGAAATGAAGAAGTGGTTCGATACCTGCTTTCTCTCAACATCATCCCCATCAATTATCAAGATTTTGAAGGTAGGACAACTGTACATTGCGCCATCCAGTCAAGGGATCTCGGGAAAGTCAGAGCTCTCCTAGAGCATCCCGACATAGACATCAACCTGACCACAATCGAAGATTACAAGTGCCAGTCACCACTCCACTGCGCAGCTGACCAAGAATGCTTGGATCTAGAGATTGTGAGGTCGTTACTCGCCCAGCCGGATATTATTGTCAACTCTCGAGATTTGTTTGCCAGGACGCCCCTCGCTTTTGCGGCTTACAATGGGCAAGCTGAGATGGTGAAGCTCCTTCTGCTGCAAAATGATGTGGATTTATTTCCAGTGGATGACTATGGAAACACCCCGTTACTTCTCGCTGCTGAAGCTGGAGAAAGCTTGGTTGTGAGTATGCTATTAGAGGTAGCAAATACAGATGTCTGGCACAGAAATCACAGGAACAGGACAGCGCTGGCATTGGCAGCTGAGTCAGGACATACAGAGGTTGTGAGACGGTTGCTCAGGCCAGGTCTTGAAGTAACGCAAGATGTCCTACGCGATGCCTTGGACAGTACAGAAGAGGCTTTGGCTGCTACTCGGAAGAAATCGAGTACTATCCTGGATTACGAAAAGAAGAAGCTTGCCAATGTAAGGAGGATGGAGGAGGCGCGCAAGCTGCTTTTGGCTTTTCTGGATAGGATGAATCTATGACTTTGTATACGCAAAATGCGGACTAATTGAGTATTCGCGCCTGTGCTCTCAGTTGCCTTCAGCTCTCATAAGGTTCTCTCTCTCGTGCGCTGTTTAAGTGTACTGATTGATGCAGATTCGGGGCTTCCCATGGGAACTCCTCCTACCAATTAGCGGTGCGATATATTTTGGAATTCATGAAGACTAGAATGACACAAAAGAATGAGAACATATTTCGGCGGGACCTCAGCACCGACAAGAAGGAAATTCGGACGATGGCGCTTCCTCTCCCATTCAGAATGGCTTGCTACATCATGTAGAGTAGTGGCCGGAGAACACATCGATTATACCCGCTCCGCCAGCCAGCGACTTGGCCGATGGAAAGATCTTTATCTTGGTCAAGCGGGACCTCTCAGCGACAAGGTGAAATTCGGGAGACCACTATCTATTCGTGAATCAGGCTATCTAGATCAAGACCTTCAATGTTGTCTTTCAATCTGCCAATAGTGCCCCGAAGGATGAGTGAAGACAGCTGTGCTGATATCCGGTATAACGGGACGACGGACCGTACCACCCTGGCGACCTGAACGATGACACTCTCTGCACAAGGGATTTGTAGGTCAAACTCGGAAAAGGCGCTGCATGCCTTGGGGAAAGCAGAGCGTTCCACTGCATTTGCTTCGTAAGAGCTCCATACATAATTGAGCTACATTCATAGCCACACCCTCGGCTGCCGCTTAGGAGCTTGTCACACATCTCATGGAGTAGGAGACATAGGTCATCGATCGCTCTTTCCCTATGGTCATTCATCGATCCTGCTTTCTACTATTAGTCAGGCATGATTGACGGCTTATGGATCCTTACTGATGATATTATCGGGGATCGGAAGCGCCAGATTATCAATCCGATTGTTACTGCACGACATGGCAGTTGAGGTAGCTTCTCTGAATTGTGCAGGAAGCTGGAAAAACCATGAAATCCATAGCCACAAAATCAAATCCTGAGAATATGATTTAGGGATAGTTTCCTCCAGAGCGTTTATCCATATATTCGCCAGGATGTCTAGAGCCTCCCTGCAGTCATAGTAGTTGGCTAGAACAGCAACTTTCGCAAGCGTCTCAAGGGTGATCTTCCGCGGTACATGGTAGTATTGGCCATGAATAACGCGAAGGATTAAGAGAGCTTCGAGATCCCAGGTATCCGCAGTAATCTCGACTGAGCCTTTTTGCAGGTAAGTAAGGCTTTCCTGCCAAGCACCCTTGAGTAATTTCTTGAAGAAAGACGAGGCAAGGATTAAATGCTTCGCGGATACTTGGATGCGGAAATAATTTTGATCCAGCCGCCCAGCGACTCCAGTTTCCGCAGGTTCTTCAACAACGGGTTCTTCAACAGCGGGTTCTTCGGCAACGGTCCATCCGGTAGTTGGCCATTCAGGAGCGGCCTCTTCAACGACAGGCTCCTCGATTGGCTGTTGGGGAGGTTCAAGAGGAATGGGATCATCATAACAAGGACTAGATCTCCTTTTCTTATTTTTCTTCCTCATCTTCTTCTTCTTGCTGAGAGGCTCCATAGGCTCTTCCACGTCATCTTCTGGCATTTTAATCTCGTCGGCGGGACTTTTGATGTTATCTCTTGCGTCCAGGAGCGGATGAGTTGACTCGCGAGGGATCATATCTTCACTCAGCTCTGCGAAGGGAGCATTTGGATTGCTTAATACTATTATCGCTTCGCCTTCTGGGTCGATAATGTGGGTTGGCTGGCCCATAGTGGTTACTCAGTGCGGCCTTCCAAACAGTAGATGGCGCTATTTTGCTCCAGATGGGCAGGGAGAATAATGAAAGTGGGAACAAATAATCTTCTATTGTACTGTATACATATAGCGAGTGCCAGCCTTGTTTTCTTACACAGTCAAGGTGTGGCAGCCTCTGATTGGCGTCTATGTTGTCGGCGCCTGCACACAGTAAGTGGCCATGGACGAGTCACTCGTATCTGACTTGGCTCTGAAATGATGATTAGCACTTAATACACGTTGCAAGTAATATTTAGAGGTTTAGTGAATCGAACGCCGTTTATGGACTGCAGGTCATGCTGAGCAAACTGGAAGCGTTTGTAGTGGAAGTGACTCGTAACAATACTGCTAATGACGACACTAATGTGGGCATTTTATTATATGAAGAGGTGTTAGCCAATCCGAGATAATAACGTTTGTATGGTGAACGCATATACACGGAATATCAAGGGAAGAAGGTCTGATTCTTCTAATCTACGATCTAATACTAGAATTTATAGACAGGAAAGATAGATTCCAGCGAATTGGAATTGAATGGGCGAGTTGAATAGCAATATGATCTATTTCTCGTGATCTGATTGGTCGAATCAGAATTTCAGAGAGTTCCGTAAATCCTTTACTAGATTCGGCAGCCAAGCTGGCTGACACCAATAAAAGCCAACGAGGTAGCTTCTAAAGCTTGAACTGGAACCATCACTAAACCCCATTGGATCGTCGTGAATACTCCCCATGCTGTGGCATAGTCTTCTGATAGGGTGATAATCCTAGCCACTAACCATAGATATAGTGCATTCCGGATTGCCGACTCTAGGAAAGTGATAAAGCCCGGTCGAAGAAGCACCAGAAATTTTCGCAATGAAGGTATATTTTGAGTATGCCAGGAATACCCACTTCCCTTGATTTGTGTGGTGGTAAAGAAGTATAACAGCCCAGAGACTGCTGCAAGTATATCGCAGCTGAGGCGTATACCGGCCTGCATGTTGATATTCGCTGTCCAGCCGCCAACATGGAATTTTGAAATAATCAGGAGATCCAGAAGAATGTTCATGAGAATCTTGATAGAGCTGATCATAAGGGGAATATTAGGCTTATTCAGGGCCCTTGTGGCGTTAGAAATGGCAACTTCAATGGCAGAGCTCAAAGCTGAGAAGGCGCTAATGCGAATGTAAGTTATGCTAGCTATCTGAACATTGTGCGGGATGAAAGTAGCTAAGAAGGCTTTCGCCACACTTATAATGATGATGCTCATAATGATCCTAAGAGTAGTCTGAAAGAGTATAAGGGTATGCGCTAACCCTAGATGAGATTTGAGAGATTAAGTCCCTTTATCTGTGATGGTTACCTATACTGCATGAGGAAGGCCTTCATTAAGAACTTTGGTAATGGTGCCAATATAAGTGTAGATGTCAGTTATGATGACTAGGGAGGAGTCCATATTTGCAACCCATAACTTGACAAGAGTGCTATATAATGCTGGAAGGATGAATGTGCCTGTATTGAACAGCAACGTCCCCATGTAGCTGTATACTTCAACGTATGGCTCCAACCCTGTTCTAAAATCTGTTAAGGGAACACCTACCTGGAATGGTACCACCATCTCTCACTGACCGCCTATTTCAGCTCAAGAAAATTGGGGCGTCCGCCAATGTGCTCCTCCCATGTGATATCGGACACTTGATCTTCAGTAGCGCTGATATCTGGATTTGGCGCCATGATTAAGATGTTGTGTACTTGATTCTCGATTTTGAGGACAATGGGGAAATATGCGGGGTAGATAAAGCAAATTTTGATTGAGGTTTTATTGAGCCTCTGCCACCTTGCCAAGTAAAATCAAACATTGCATTTCCTGCTTGGTGGACAAGGGCCATTGACTGGAGGCCGCAGCTTAGGATCTACAAAGCTGTGAAGCCAAAATCAGATGAGATTTTGAATAATATGAAAGGTTATCCAGTAAACCATGAAATACAGTGCGTATGGGATGTATTCCGGTTCCCTTATCTGGCAAATCACTTGAATTTATGGAAGAAATTGCGACAGACTACCAAAGCAAACTACTGGGATAGTACTTCTGAAATAATGGAACAAGTCCACAGATGCAAACGAGACATATAGGATGTCGAATTGCTCTGCGGAGATGGTCTTAACTTCCATCACTGGGGGAACTCTTTCCCTTATTCTGCGAATGGTCAAGCTGATACCCAGCCCCGTACTTCTCATGGAATCCATGGCTCACCGTCAGACTCGGCTCCTTCCCTTCCGGAAGAACCAACTTGTGATTTCAAGAGAGTTGCTGAAGTGTTTCGTCAGACATCTGCCCGAACCATTGGGCCAACCAGGCTCCGGTAGTGATATGCTTCGCGGAGATAAGGTCTCCAATTGTGGACACAACCAGCTGGTGGGAGTCATCAGCTGACTTCACATTCTCGAAGATGTTTACTCGAGGATTTCCAGCAAGGTCAGACGCGTCTGTGCAAATGTTCAGACACTGGGAGATACTGTCTGTTTCTTCCCTCATGCTTTCAAGTCTGCGAGCTTCCTCCCCAGTAAGGCGTGGCCCCTTTTCTGAGAGATCATATAGGCGGCGATAAGCTCTTTCATCCGAGACTTAAAGTCTTTTTTGCTGGACAATAGCTTGACTTGGAACTCCGTGAGCATGGCCTTGGTGATTATTCTTGGGCGTCTTGAATGGGATTTGGATGCCTTTAAACATATCAGAGAGCTCTGTTCGTGTTGTTTCTTTCCGTTCTGCGGACCTTTGCGAGTCATCCCACTTCTCTCCAGCTAAATGTTGTCCTTCTTTTCTGTCTCGGATATCACTTCCGATAGATGCGTAATGATGCAGCAAGATATATCGGCTTCCCAGTCACTGAGGGTTTTGTTCTTTGCAGCTGTTATTTTCGAAAGGATGGCCCCCTCAGTCTGCTCTGAATTGTTGCCAGGGTGACCAGTATGGTTTATATCCGCTAGTCCACTTTTCAGTATGTTTTTAATTGCTCAAGACACTCGTTTTCCGTCTGTGTGCACCTTCTGGTGTTTAAGAGAAGTCGCTTAACCTTACGAGCCCTCTCCATGTTTTCAAATGTCTCCATGTCTTCCAGGCTCGGTATTAGGTAAGACGATCCCTTTGAAACTTTGTGCGATCGGACGTTGAAAGGCATTCTCCAAAAGCTCCTATGCGTCACGGACATCTCCAAATCCAGCGAGAAATTGCTTGCGCAGCACACTATTAGCAGAAGATGGATGACTGGAGGAAGCCCGGTTGCGCTGGCTGAGTCTTCGAAAAACCGCCATGTTGCTGAGGCGAACTCCCTTCATATATCAGACTTGAAAGTTACTACTGGCGAAAAAGTTGCAGTCGGAGGCGGAGGGAATGGTGACCCTGCACAAGCGAACGTCAACGTTGAACATTCCGAGGGAATCAAAGCGTACTATGAAGCTGCTAGAGTCATCCATGGACTCATCAATGGATCCGACTCGGGTGCAATCCGTACGATACGAGGTTCATCAGCGAAAATCTTGTGAATATGTGTTCATGCCGGCCCCTACCTGGTTTAGTAATAATGAAATGAAAATGAAGAGTACCTTAAGATCTCTACCTTAGGCAGGATTGACAGACGTTGTCTGACATATAGCAGCACATTTTTGACATAGGCCCAAGTTTCTATCACATTGCAGCGAAGGATCAAATTAGCAAGCCAAGCTTTATTGCGCTTAAATCATGTCCTAGCAGAGAGGATTGTCTTTAAATGAAAATACACAGCCGGCTTAGTTGGCTTCTAAATAGACATGGAAACAAGGGCGAGACAGGCAGATAGAAGTCAACAGAATTGTGCCGTCCTCACTCTCTAAATCTCACTGGACGAAGTTCTGGTCCTGGATGAAGCAGTTGCTCCAAATCAGTCACATTTCTGCCATCCACACCGTCAAATTTCTTCTTAGTCTTCTGAAAGATCTCTGAGTCCATGTATTTTTCATGGAACTCCAGCATCATTGTAATTTCCGCGGGGCTTAATTGCTTATAATCTACTACCTCGCCACTCGAGCTAAAACTGCGGTACACTCCGTCGGTAGCAAGGTGGTTGAGGCCTTTGAGCGATGGCGATTGTTTCAGGGATGGGATGGCCTTCGATGCCTCTTCGTCTTTCTATAGCAGCGTCAGTATCGTGCGGATGCAAGCTGAGAAATACTCTTACTATGCAAGACATGATTTAAGTGATCTGTTCGTGCGATATAATGGAACTCTTGATTGTATTATATAATAGAGAGAGTGTAGTTGAAAGGAGGTGAAGACTTCTGTGAGAGATGTGGTGAGGGGAAGCTGATACTCGAGCTAACGCAGCGAGAAAAGTGCTGACGTGATGACCAGTGGTCACATGCCCTGAGAAAGGATATAGAAAAGCCTTAAGCTACTCTATTTAAGTAGTTTCCTAGTTACACACATGACCTCATCAGACAAATATATCACATGTGCGTACTATAACCTTCCTAACAGGTTCATTAGACATCCGCCACTCATCTTACCACTAAAACCTAACCTACGTTTTTTGTTAGAATTATCACTTCCAAATCCCTAGGATTCTGATACAATTTGTTCATCATTCTTACTTGTATTGAGTAAAATCATGGCACGTCGCTCGCGCACAATAAATGGCATTTGCACCATTGGCAGCAAGTAAACTAAAAATAAAGCATGGGCAACAGGCAAATCTATTTAAAGGTGGCTGATTGGGTGAAGTGTACACTTGCTTAGCAGTGAGTATGTACCTCTCTAACCAGTGAGCAAATAATATCTGCCCCAGGCACTAAGGTATCACCAAGAAGAGTTATCGCATATATAAGCCGTTTTAAATCTTGACAGTCTGATACATCGAACCTTTCACACCTGAATATCCAGCGTACAAAGTTTATAAAGGTCATTTGAACAGTTTGCGCAGATCCGACGGCTCTGCTTTTGACTAAATCTGAGGAAGGATTCGGTAAAGAGATGAGTGAAGAATGAAGATAGGATGCACTAGGACGTGTGTAGGCTATCGTTCATGGAGGAATAAGACAAGGAAGCAACTGTGAGAAGCAACTAGCCTATCTAGGAAGATGACAAGGTGCGAGGGCAACAGAAAGCATGCTTTCACTAAAAGCAAACACCTGCTCCTCCTGGTAAGACAGCATCTATATCTGAACAAGCTCGGCAGCCCATGAACCGGCAAGCATCACCAGAGGTGCAAGATTGGCCTACGCAGTACCAGTCGGCCTGCTGGAGAGGGTTGGCTTCGCGCTTAGACTGGGGTGCCTGACGATTCATCTGACTTCGAAGCTCAGCAGGAGGGTCGAGCAATTGTTTTTCATCCGTAACTTGACGTCCGTCGACGCCATCGAAAACAGCGTGTAAATGATCTGCTTCCTTCTTCCATGCTTCTGGAAGGTTCTTGAGCAGGTGCTTAAGCTGGTCATTGGTCAAGGGAACATAGTCAATAACAGATTCGTTCTCGTCGTAAGCTCGTGCCACTCCGTCGTCCGCGATGTGGACATATCCCAGAGGTACTGATTTCGACTTGGCCATGGCATCGAAAGCACTGATGCCCTCCTGAGCGGCTAACCCGGGAGCCGCGAATGATGATGTTGCCATCAGGCCCAGTACTGCGAGTAAAAACGAATGCATGATTGAGAGACAGGAATTTGTTTTAAGTATGTTTTTGTACAAAAAGATTCTTGGATTGAGCTTGTGAAGTAGGTGTTTGTTTTAGCTCTGGAGAAGACAATCACATCTCCTGGCAGGTCAATCAAAGTATTTATACCCATATTGGCCATAAGATATGCCTGAACTCGCGCAGATGACTGAGACTCTCGGGAGTGCGAAATCCCAAGTACGGAGAATAGAGACTACCTTTGGAAGGTAGCTGATCCAAAGCTGATTTGCTTAAAGTCCATGCTGTCAAGGAATTGGAGCGGAAGGTCCGGAACTACGGATGAGGGGTATTACTGTATGATTCTTTGTGCGCTGGCGCAATGCAATGCAATGCCAGCGGCCTCTAACTACTCCGGAATACTACATTCCCGACCCGACAGTCTGGGTGAGGGTGTGATAGCTATGCATTAATCTGTTGATGGAAACCCTGGGCAAGCGCCTTCCAATCTCATAGGTAGGATTCAACCAGACACGGCTCGGAAAATGAGGCGAGCTGAATCCCAAGGCATGTAAAAAACCAACAAACCAACAAACTAAGTCCTGTCTGGACAGGGTTGAATGATAACTAAATTAATCAGGGACATACTAAGATGCAAAGAGCAAGCCAGTCATCAGTATGGCCTGACATTTTTTCCCAAATCCCTTTCTGATTTCAGCAATTCATTTGTTATTGACAGGGGATCATGAGCTTCTTTTCCTCCCGCCCCGTCTACTCTTCTTCTTGGGACATATGGGAAGAGACGATAGCTAGGAATAGTTGATGCTTCCTGATGATTTCCATTATTAGCTGGAATCTTAAATCCTCAGACCAAATTGGGTTCGCGAGATATCCATTAAGCACAGTAAGGGACTTGGTATTCTCAATTAGGACAAAGAAAGTACTATCTATGGCCCTTAGATTCCTAAGGCAAACCAAATAAGACTATTATAATGCAGGCAATGATCCTTGCCCTTTTGTATACTGTCACCTATCTGCCAATAATGGATCCTTGCGATTGTTGGTGGTGGTAGTGGAGGGTAATGATCTCCAATGCTTGGAATAAAGCAGTAAGTGGAGTTTAGTATACAATTTGAAAATAAGTAATAGTTACGCATGATTGACATCGAACTCTCACCATGTTACCTAGTGCGCTGGGGCCAAAAAGCGGACCCTAGAGAAGTGTCACGCACTATTCTAAACTAGTTAATTCGTTGCCCCAATCACAACCTAGATAGGAGGTACGTGCTAGTCCCAGGGTCCTAGGACATACGTCAGAACAGGCGGCGTGGGGTGGTTGCAGATGAGTCGGGGTCATTATTTGGGTCGCGCGAGTGGAGTCCGCTTATGTAATTACCTGAGCAATCATGTGATACTCGCATGACACTTTACCTTCCCGAAAAAGATTTCATCACGCACAACCACTTTCGAAGCATTTACAACGCCCTCACAAAAATCCTCATGGCCTCCCTTGCCACGAATGTAAGTTTTTATTAAGAATCAATGAATAACTGATTCCATTGCAGACATCTAATTTTCTATTTCAGAAATGGTATATCAGATATTTGAGTGAGGTGGCTGACGGTCGCCTCGAGCTGCCCCCCTACGAAGAGGTGAGCCTTAATTTTACCTTGTTTAAATATCACCTAAATGGTTTCTAACTGCTTAAAAACTGCTCAGAGGGAGGATGGCTCGATCAAGATCTACTACGGGGAGCTCTTCTGTCGGGTGCCGGACTGCTCGAAGTCGCAAGTATGGATCTTTAACTAATACTCAAGTATTTGCTAATCAGTTGTTAATCATTTAGAAAAAATACACCGCAACCAATAACCTTCGCACTCACCTTGAAACTCATGGCGATATTAAATTGCAGGAGGGAAATAGTGGTGGCCGGGTGCCCCAGAAGACAGTCGATGAGGCTACAAGTAAGTGGTTATGAAGTTGCTGTAAGCCGATTACTAAACGCTTAGCAACTGCTTAGAATGGTACAAGTGGTTGTTCTATGCGGTGGACCCGCAGGATGGTGGCGGAGCAAGTACTTCTGCAGATACTCACTTCGTTTGCGCTATGTCTGTTGATGCAGGTACCCCTTCTTTACCAGTAAAAAAAGATGGCACTGTAAGTAATATTTGACTGCTTTCTGACTGCTTGATCAACTCTTACTGAATACTTAGGTCCATGTCACAAACATGCGCAAGAAGGTTGCTGAAATGGGGCGCAAGGTTCCTTGCAGTTCCTGTGGAAATCGCAATGATTGCTGCAAGGATATTAACAAATGTGCCTACTTTGTTCTTTTTGATTGTGGTAATATCACTCTGGAGCCGACAAATGGAAACTAGGCGCCTGTGTGGTCTCCTGTGGATGAAGCTTAGGGTGGGAAACTGATTGTTAATCATCTGTTAAGCAGTTAAAGAGCACTTCAATGTCATGGCGGTTTTACATGGCTTCCTTACTTGAAGGTTCCCATACTGGAATGGAACTAATAAATAGTTAGTAAATAATTAATATCAAAGGGTTCTGATTGTGTCTTTTTTTTTTTTTTTTTTTTTTTTTTCTAAAAAGAAGAGTAATTCAGAAGGCCTGTAAATATATATTATAAAATTCAGATACACACGTAATGAATTTAACCAAATACTTTCCGACTACTTAATAATCGCTTGCTAGGGAATAATACACACACATGTATATAATAAAAGTCATTGTGATGGAGAGATTGATGTCAATTATATATAATGAATACTTGTGCCATCTTACCACTTTTAAACCACTTGTTAATCACTTTGCTGAAGTTCCTGGATTCGAATCCGCCGTTCCATGAGATCAAGCTCTAATCTCTCGTTTTCAAGCTGTTGTAAACGAATTTCCTCCTCTTGCTTTCTAATATCTGCTTCTTTTTGTTTGATCTCTGCTTCAAGCTTTCGAAGCTCGAGCTCCTGGCGCCTCTGTTCTAAACTCATGGCATTCGCCGATGCAACACGGCGAAGGTCATGTGAAGATCTTGTTGATCTAACGAGTTATTAAGTAATTGACAACCATTTATCAAGTACTTATAAACTTACTCATTATCGCCATTCTGTGAAGAAGATTGGGAGCATGATCTCCTGGTTCTTTGAGGCGATTGACATCGCTGTGAAGCTGATTGAGTAGTCTCAGTACTATGAGATGAGGTCGACCGTTGGCGTTTGCGGCTATCTATATGGTGAGTGATTATTAAGTGGTTAATAACTGGTTTTGAATAGCTAAAAGTGGTTGATTTTAAGCACTTACTTTCCCGACTCATATGGCGAAGATAGTTGGCTTCCATATTTGATGTTCGATATGAATGATGCACATTAAACTGTCTGAAGTTGTTATATTGAAGAATGTCATCTTTGTCCAACTTCGCAGAACTAGATATTATTAGTGTTGGAGAATAAAGTACTTTATAAGTGGTTGTTAAGTGCTTGTACTTACTTTTTAACCGCTTCAACCAAAGTCAAATACTTGCCAGATGCATATGATTTTTGATGGGACTGTTCAACAGCATTTGTGTGATTGCGTAAAATATCAAAGTAATAAGGTTGAATTTTGGAGCATGCTTTATTCAACCCTGCTTTGATAATTGTACTCTTCTTTTGTTTTGCCCAGTTCTGAACATTGACATCCTCATATTCTATAAGTAGTTAGCAACTACCTGACAATCACTTAATAAGTGGTTGGATACTTATTAGTAGGTCAAGCAAGGTATCATAATCAGCCTCAGATTTGCAGTCTAATAGACTCATCATACGGCTCCAAAGAGAGGAACCTTGATTTGTAGTTCCAATAGTCTTCAGAATTGACCGTTGAAAATGGACTCGGCAAAATATAATTATGTGTTGCAAATGCCATGTCACATCTCGATGCTGAGGGTCGATTTCAGAAAGATATTGGCCAAGTCCTAAGTACTCAGTATATACTTGTTACTTGTTAACTGGTTGATAAGCGCTTACCTGTATATTGTTTCGAGTCCATATCAACAATAATACCATGTATTCCAGACCCATGAATTGGATCAAAAAGCACTGGCTGCTGAGAAACTTTTTGGATCAGATTAAAAACTCGTTTGAAGAGTAGATAATATCCCTCAGTAGAATCTTCACTGGTAAAGACTCGTAGTAAGGTGATAACTAGTTAACAACTGATTAGTAACTATTTCTAATTACATATGTAACACTCACTTTTGCACTGATCTGATAAGAATGTTGCGAAAAGCACCTCATTCATTTTTTTGGATCGAATCCGCTTGTAAGACATGTCCACTTCAAAAGAGGGAAGATGAGATAGAAGCTGAATCTGTTCTCTAAAGCCACACAGAACCATAGTACCCTGCGAATCATGATATTGCTCTTGGATGTAATCCTAAGTACCGAGTAAGTGTTAATGAATCACCTTATAAGTATTTGTACTTACGTTGACGTGTTGGTCGATGTTTTGAAGAAAGAGAAGACCATTAACAATCTTGTCCGTCAGGATAGGAAAGTAGACGTTGTTTTTGGATGATTGCGGCAATCCGGTCTTTATTGCAAAAGGCAGAGTGAATCTCTGCTAATGTAGAAGCATTATACTGCCGACAAAATGCCTCAAGCTGTGGATTGCGAAGAAACTGTGCTAAGAACAACTGGTTAGAAATCATTTCTAAATCACTTACCAGATACATACCTGTTGTCAAACTTGGGTCTCGAATTTGTTGAATAATACTTTTTACCCCTTGTAAGATTCTCTCCGGTGCCTTGCTTGGTGGTGGTGGTGGATGCTTATGCACACCATGTGATGTGAATAATATATATGAACATTGATTAATATCCACAGGTACCAAAGCATTAAAAGTAACATCACAAGGTGTATGCTTCAATCGTCCTGATCCTTGAGGATGATCTCGACCTTTCAATCAGTTAATAAACAGCTAATAAGCAGTTAATAAATACTTACCACAATATTTTCGTCGGGATGATAAAGGTTCAAAAACACTACATTCTTCGGTTGCTGGCATAATCTCTTTATTAAAGAGATCTTCAAGAAACTGCAAATCAATAACTGTGTGACCTTGAATTGCCCCTCTATGATGTTTTGTTAAAACATCAGATGATTCATGTATACAGCCAATATAGGGAGCATATTCTCCGTGGACATTCTAAACTGGTTAGTAACCATTGAGAAACCATTTATTAAGTGCTTAGACAAACCATCTGGCTGTATCTCTTGAAAACTGGTTTGCATGTAGGAAGTTGGTCAATGCATGCAAGGCCTCTCTGAAAGAAACCAACTTTTGATCGATAGTAGCTATAAGCAGTTAGTAATGAGTTATGAAATAGTTAGGAATTCCTCAACTAATACCTGTATGCATTCCGCTTGCTAAGATCTGTCTCTAAGATCCTAATGTCTTTCTGAGACTTCTGAATTTCCTGCCAAATAGTCTCATCCACACAGGTGTGGTGATAAGATTGGAGAACTGGACTCAAAAATTCACAAGCATAGATTCCAGAGCATTTCCAGGTCCATTTCTTGACATGGCATTTCAAAAATGGACAGTTGACTGGTCGTTTTTGTCCGTAAAGCTGTCTTCTCGCATATTGAATCTGGAAGCAGTTAGTAACCAGTTGTGAAGCGCTTAGGAAATACTTACGTCATGGGCAACCTGCTCCATTTCAAGCTGTGACCGTCCTCTCGAAGCAACAACATATGTGTACCCGTGAATATGACTTGTGGGATACTCTGGTAGGTCATCAATATATTCAATTTTTAGTGTTGTTAGGGAAGAGCTTTTAGCGCTAGTAAGTGGAATGGGAATAGCGGGTTCCTGTTTTAAATACTTAGTAATCAATTACAAACCGTTTTGTAAGCAGTTTGATACCTCGTAATCAAGCTCCGACTCGAAAAATCCATCCACATCAATTAAATGATTGGAATCCATTGTTGTAAAAGAGTAAAACAAGAGTAAAGTACTTGGCAACTGCTCTAAAACTAAGTTGTGATTTCTCGATTTTTTTCACAGCATTGGATAAAAGTAAAGGGAGGAGAAGGAAATTGAATTTCCATGTGCGCGTGTATCATATTTAAATGGTCATGCGAGTTGTTGCGGCTTATTAATGATCTTGGCAGTCACGTGTAGAGGGTGTGTCTCATGTGAGCTCTTTATGGAGCTCGCGTGGGCTGCGTACACGCTCCTGAATCATTGTACCTCCAGTGTATCATTATATAATCATAATTTTTGGTGCCATACTCTTTTGGGATTCTGCTCTAGTTTTTCTCCCCTGCTTCTATCTTCACGTCTGGTTCGACTGTTTCCATAAGCACGTCACCGTTTGCAGCATTCATCTTCTTCGATATCAATTCAAGGTGAGTAGCACCTCTCAGTTTCTCTGGAGACTGGACTTTTCATGTGTCCCAATTGCTTTTTGGATGGGTTTGCTGTGCTCTTGATGGCCCTGCAAAGGATGGCTCATCCCTAGCACTGGGCCTGATTGCTGTGAGCTTGCTATATGCAGTCAACTGCCGGCCGGCTAACCACGTGGGAGCCTGAGGCCAGCAACATTCCCGACAGCTTACCTAAACCTACACACATGGCACTTTTCGGCTGACGCAATGTTTTTCCATTGTACCTTTTAGTCACGTGATCGAGTCCCCCCCCCCAATTCGGCCGCCGTATTGACCCGCTTCTGCCCCTCCTTTTAGTTCCAGCACCGACTAGCAACAATGTTCTCCCGTAGCCTGAGGTCAACAATAACCCCACCTTGCTCGTCCTTCTCTTCTCGTCCCCTCCTCTCCTCCGTTGTCAATTGCAATCAGTCCTCCTTCCTGTCTCTTCGCAGATTCCATCAAACCCCTTCCGCCATGTCTCAGGTCTTCTTCGACGTCGAGTACGCCCCTGTGGGCACCGCTGAAAGTAAGCTATTCCGCGCCCTCCCTGTCTTTATTCTACTTGGTTTAGGGTCTGGGGTACAATTGCATTACCCCTCCATCCCGCTTTTCAGCATCGGCGAGAAACTGTGCTCAAAGCGGGCTCGATGGATTCGGACTTCAATTAATGCTTTCGAATCTTTTTACTGACGCTATCTTGCTTCGTGCCTTGACAGCCAAGGTCGGCCGTATTGTATTCAACCTCTTCGATAATGATGTCCCCAAGACAGCCAAGAACTTCCGTGAGCTCTGCAAGAGACCTGCTGGTGAAGGCTACAGGGAGTCTACCTTCCACCGCATCATCCCCAACTTCATGCTCCAGGGTGGTGACTTCACTCGTGGCAATGTGAGTCGTCGTCATACACGACACCGCTCTCGCCGGACCCGTTAGCCCATATTGCTTTCTGGGTCCTGAATAGGACTTGAGAACTGATATGTACCACTTTTTGCGCTTAGGGCACTGGTGGTCGCTCTATCTACGGCGACAAATTTGCCGACGAGAACTTCAGCCGCAAGCACGACAAGAAGGGTATCCTCTCCATGGCCAACGCTGGTCCTAACACGTAAGTTGTATCCTGCGATTCGCCTATGTTTTTAGAGGTACCTGAAGTTGTACTGATTGCCTTGTAGCAACGGCTCTCAGTTCTTCATCACCACGGCTGTGACTTCCTGGCTCGATGGCAAGCACGTTGTCTTTGGTGAAGTTGCGGATGAGAAGTCCTACAGCGTCGTCAAGGAGATCGAGGCTCTCGGAAGCAGCAGCGGTTCTGTCCGTTCCAACACTCGTCCCAAGATCGTCAACTGTGGTGAGCTGTAAGCAATGAAAAGGGGAAGATAATGGGTTCGAACAAAGGGGAGCCTCTCGGTTCTGACGACTCTACAGATGAAGCCTGTGGCTCTCTGTTCTCCGATCAGGCCTTGGGGGTTCCGACGTCTCCTTTCTTGCGTGGTGTAATCTAGAACTGTTCCCGAATTATTAGCCAAGCATGTCTCTGTCCATTTTCAATCTGTGCCGACAATTGCTTCTAATCGGTTCCATTTCTGATTGCCTGTATGTCTTTACACTCTGCCCCCGTAACTAAGCCCCTGCTTGCACCATACGGTCTACACGTCATGTCTGGTTCGACAGCTTTTAGGACGACGGGTCTGAGAATATAAGGCTGAAAGTGAGCGTCAGCCATCGATTGATTGAATACAAGCATAGGTCATTTGGCTCAGACTGCCAAGATCGGTTCAATCAGCTATATCTTGATTTTTCGTCAATAAAACAACTACAAAACCGATCATGAAACTAGACGGTGATCTCCCGTGTTATTATTGATTGTTGTCATTGATCTCGTATTACAAACACCTTTGAGGCTTCTTCTATCGCGGATCTGAGAGGGGGCAAGCGGAACGCTTCAATCGAGAGGCCATTTGAAGTCAGACTAACAAGAGCGAGTCAACGAATTGCAGGCCGGACCGAGGAGCACATCTATCCGCAGCATTTGGTGACCGCCGTAGCGTCATTCCTAAACAAAAACACAAGTCAGATCGAGCTCCTTGCAAACCATCCGAGGAAGGTAAGGGGAGTGGAACAACATACTCCTTCTGCAGATTCAAAGGCTCCCAGGAGAAGATGAAGGAACCCAGGAACGCCCCGATGAAGATGCAGATAATTATGTACCCGTTGAAGTACATGGCCAGCAACATGACAAAGTACGCCACCGCGAACTGCAGCATATGCAGCAGGGCGCGCACCAGCTGCTCGATCAGCGTGGGCCGGACGGGCGTCTTGTCCTCGAACGCGCCGCAGAGCGTCTGCCCTGCGCCTTTTGATGCTGCGCCTTCGACGCCGCGGGTGGAGTTGGGGGAGTCCTCGGCGCTGGCGTCGGCGTCGGTGGCACGTGTTAGGCCTTGGGACGAGGCTGTTGTGGAGAGGTACTGGTTTCTTAGGCGGGCGCGGCGGACGATGAAGGCGTCATACTCGCGGCCGACGCGGCGGAGGAACTCGAGGCAGATGACGAGGCAGATGACGCCAATGCAGGAGCCGGCGAACATACCGCGGGAGGTGTTGTGCCATTGACTGGAGAGGA